CCCCGCAACACCCCTCACCACCACCAATCCCAAACAGCCGAGGAGAAGCCACACCGGCCCCCCGCCCTCGCTCTCCGCCCGCACGCGCATCACCGAAGACAGCGACACATACTCCCTCGCGCCCCCGCGCGCGCTCGACCGCTCCAACAGCCACGTCCGCGCGCGCAAGCAGTCGCTCTTCTCGCGCATGCTCGGCAAGAAGCCCACGACGAGCGATCGGACGCAGTACCTCGATCTCGCGGCGCAGAGCGATAGCCCGGACCCGGGGTATTATCCGCGCGACCCGCTGCCGCCGCAGAGCGAGTTTGGCGGGGAGAGCAGTGCAGCTGGAAAGAAGAGGGAGGATGCGGGCGTGCTCACGCGGCATGTGTCCACGCGGAGCAAGGCCTCAACTCAAACGCGCAGCTCAGCCCGCTCCGGCGGCAGCGGGCTGTCCGGCGCGACAAAGACGTCGGCCCTCTCGCGCTCCACGCGCCCCACGTCCGGCTCGGGCGAAGGAAAGGAGGCGGGGCCGAGCGGGGGCGGGAGCGGGATGGAGAGGAGGCCTAGTACGAGGAGTGTGGACTCGGGCGCGACGCTCGTGGGGAGCGCGATGAGGAGGAAGATGGACTATGTTGATCCGGTGCGCAGCTTTCGGGATGGGGCTGGACGGCTGGGCAGGATAAGGGAGTTGATGGAGAAGGAGAAGCTGGACTACTAGTACGCCCCTTCCTCTCTTCATTCTTCAATTCTATGTAATACTGACCGAGCCGTGCAGCATCGTCCCCTCCGAAGACGCGCACCAATCCGAATACGTCGCGCCCGCCGACAAGCGGCGCGAGTGGCTCACGGGCTTCACGGGCTCCGCCGGCGTCGCGGTCGTCTCGCTCTCCAACGCCTATTTGGTTACGGACTCAAGGTACTGGGGCCAGGCGCGCAAGGAGCTCGATCGCGAGATATGGAGCTTGATACCGGCGGGCGCGCCGGAGGGGCCGGGGGACTATGTCGAGTGGCTTGTCGTGCGTGCTTTTCTCTCTCCCTCTACACTCCCTTGCTTTGCACTTCGACTTCTATTTTTCTTTTTATCTTTTTTGAATTCTAATACAACCTTTTTTCACCTTCCTCTTTCATCCCTTTCCCCTTCTTCCACTTTCTTCCGTTCATACAGGCCCAAATTACACCTCCACCCAAAGGAGTCCGCTTCAAAACCAATACTGACTCCTCCACCTCTACACCGCAGGACCGCGCCCGCGCCGCCCGCGTCGGCGTCGACGCGCGCATGGTCTCGCTCGACAAGGCCACCGCGCTCCAGACCGGCCTGGCGAAAGTGGGGAGCAAGCTGGCGTTCCCGCATCAGAATTTCGTTGATATTGCCAGGTGCGTCTCTTCCTCCTCTTCTCCATTACCCCCCTCGCTTTTCCTCGTCCGTCATCTTGCGATGGGGAAGGGAAAGGATTGGAGGGATGGGGAGAGTTGAGAACGAGTGCTGATTGGGGATTTGTAGGGGCAGCGACAGGCCGGCGCGGAGCAACAAGCCGATCCAGGTGCACGGGATCGAGTATACGGGGCGCGACGCGAGCAAGAAGTTGCGCGATGTAAGTCTTCTCCCTTTTGCCTTTTGCCTCGGCGCATCATTGCGGGGGACACAATGCTTCATCGCGAAGAAGAAGATGCTGACAACGGCCGACAGGTCCGCGACTGGATTCAAGCCCAACCGCCCGCGGTCCCGCAGTACGCCTCCGCAAAGGCCAAGGCGGCGGGCCCGACGAGCGCACAGAGGCATGTGGGGATGATGGAGAGCGGGTTGAGCGCGATCGGTGCGTGTTCTTTCTCTTCCCCTTCTTCCCTCTTTCCCATCCTCCCCATCCTCTTCCCTCGTTACCCTGTCTCCCTCTTCCTCCCCTCCCAACCCTTCTTCTGCTTCTCCTCGAGTCGAAGTCGAAGTGTGATGATGACGACGATGCTGACGCGGCGTACAGCGTACGTGCTGAACCTGCGCGGGGACGACGTGCCGTTCAACCCCGTGTTCCACGCGTACCTCTATATTGGCCTGGATAAGACGATATTGTTCGTTGATTCGGGAAAGTTGCGGCGCGAAGTACGTATCCTCCTCTCTCTCTTGGAGGCCCTGTCGTCTCCCTCTTTGAGGCCCTGTCGTATGGAGAGAAGGAGACGCTGACGCGATTGTGAGTAGGTGAAGGAGTACCTGAACGGGCTAGGCGTGACGGTCAGAGAGTATAATGACGTGTGGGCGTTTTTGAGGTTGAGGGAGTGGGGCGATGGGAAGGTGCGTTCTTCTTCTCTCTTTTCCCTCTCTACTTTGGCTTGCCTCATGATCGCAATTCGCCCGTGCTCGTGGCGACTCGCATTCACCATACTCCCTCTGACTCGCCCGCGCTCGTGCTGACTCGCCTATGCTCGTACAGATCCTCATTAGCGGCACAACGACATACGCCATCGCGCTCATGCTCACCAACTTCCGCTACACGCACGCGGAGCCGATTATAGACGCCATGAAGGGCGTGAAGAACGAGGTGCGTTCATGCCCGCTCTTTGATCTCACGATATGGCCAGGTTAGCTGATGCATCCATTCGGCGCAGGTCGAGATTCAGGGCTTGAAGCGCGCATACACCCGCGACGGCGCCTGTTTCGTGCAGTTCTTCGCGTGGCTGGAAGAAGCGACAGCCAAAGGCGTCCAAGTACGTCCCCTCCCCCTCCCCATCCACCACATCCCTCCTAACCCTCTCCCCTTCTCACATAGGTAAGCGAATGGGAAGCCGCCTGGCGCCTCACCGAGTTCCGCCGGCGCGCCAAGAACTACCGCGGCCTCGCATACGAGAACATCTCCGCCACGGGCCCGAACGCCGCGCTGCCGCACTACAGCCCGCTCAAGAGCGATTGTCTGTTGATCGACACGGAGACGCCGTATTTGAACGATTCGGGCGGGCAGTATTTGGACGGGACTTGTGATACGACGCGGACGGTGCATTTGGGGCGGCCGAGCGAGGAGATGTGTGAGGCGTTTACGAGGGTTTTGCAGGGGCATGTGGGTTCTCTCTCTTCCTTCCCTTCTTTTCTCATACCTTCCCCTCCTCTCTCCCTCCCCTCTCCATATTCTCTTCCTCATTCGCGAGTCAATGCTGATCCACGACGCAGATCGCGATCGACACGGCCGTCTTCCCCGCGAAAACGACGGGCCGGCAGCTCGACGTGCTCGCGCGGCACAAGCTCTGGCAGGACGGCCTGAACTACCTCCACGGCACAGGCCACGGCTTCGGGAGCTACCTGAACGTGCACGAGGGCCTGCACAGCTTCTCGAACGAGGTCGCGCTCGTGCCGGGGCATGTCATTACGAATGAGCCGGGGTATTGTGCGTGCTTTTCTCTCCTCTCCCTCTCTCTCCTCTTTCCTTCCCTCCCTATGCCTTCGATTCAAAGACGGCCAGAGCTGATGCTGATACACGTGCGTACAGATAAGAACGGGCACTTCGGGATCCGGCTCGAGAGCGCGCTCGTCGTGCGCGCCGTGCGGACCAAGCGCGAGCACAACGGCCCGATCTGGCTCGGCTTTGAGCGCCTGACGTGTGTGCCGATCCAGACGAAGATGTGCGTGGAGGAGCTGATGAGCCGCGAGGAGCGCGAGTGGGTTAAGGTGCGTTTCCCCTTCTCTTTTTGCCGCTGATGGGAAAGAAGGGAATGCTGACTGGGGTGTGTAGGAGCACAACAGGGAGTGCGTGGAGCGGCTCGAGCCGCTGCTCAGAGACGATAAGCGCGCGTTGAGGTGGTTGAAGCGGCAGGCGGAGCGGCCGTTGGGCGTGCAGCCTGTTGGGCCCGGCGGGGTGCTTATTGAGTGGGAGTAGACGGTGCCGGCCCATCTCATCTCTGACATGCGATACATCATATCACCCTCGATTGCGATACCCTCTCCACGATCTACTACCCTCTCCGCTCCCGCCATTCGAGTTCAAGTTCTCTGCCTTGCTCTTCGACCCATGATCGATTCTGGATCTTGCTTCGTGCTTTGATATATACTGATATACCTTGTACATGCCTCTCGTCTCGTCTCCGATTTGCTTTCTGCTCTTCGTGCTATACATAGACTTATTCGTGCGCTGTACACTTCTCTTCCTTTCGACTATTTCGCCTTCTACTACACCTACACCTCTACACCCGTCCTATACAGCTTTACAGACCTTTCACGTTGCTCTTCGTTCTTCGCTTGCATACACGCTTTTCATGCTTCATTGACCCACCGTACGATACTGCTTCAGCTTTGACATTCCGCCCTCAGTTGGGCACGTGAGTGTGATGGCGGATCAGAGCCGAAAGCGCGGCGACGACGACGCGACGGCTCGGGTCATTTGAGAGTCTGATTGCGCGATATGTAACGGTACAATGAGGGACTTGCTAAGCCGCCGTGGCGTAGTTGTCTTATGCGTCCGGTGTCAATTGTTGCTCCGGCGAGGCGTGGGGTTCGATCCTTGCTCTAGGTTTTGCAATAAATTTTTCTCGAGCAAAGCGACATGCTCTCGAGTTAGGGCTCGCAAGCGTAGCGCGAGCCCTAACTCGAGGGCATTGGCGTTTTGCGGGGTGTTATAGGACTCCTAGTTAATTGGGTTAGGGTGGTTAGGGTAGGGTTAGTAAGTTAGGGTAGGTTAGGTAGGGTTAGTAGGTTAGGGTGGTTAGGGTGGTTAGGGTGGTTAGGGTGGTTAGGGTTCAGGGTTAGGGTTCAGGGTTAGGGTACGGGATGTATATTTCTGCTGCTGGGAGAGTACTATGTAACATAGAAAAGCGCAGGGAGTCTTCTGAGGTCGAGCGAGAGAACCGGGGGCGCGGATGCCATCAACGGATCAAAGCGGATCATTCCAACTGGGGGCGGAATTTACTCACTGGATACTGCTTTGCTGCGTTGCCGTTGATTGTGTTGGTATCGTTATTCATGCGGATCTTCGTCTTGTTTCGATATATACTTGGATGACGATGGTCGATGTCTTGGTATACATACATGAGCGTCTACGACGTACGTGGGACGCGACATTTGCGATATACTAAGGATAAGAGGCAGGAACGCGTCCTGCTTTCCACCGCCATGCTCGTCGCAGCTCCGAGCTGCGCGCACGTCTCACCGACCGCCGCGATCATCTTTACCATCCCCGACAACTGGCAGCTCGACGGTCCGCGTACTTGACCCAGGTCCCTATGTCGGCCCCACGAGGCATCCCTCTTCCCTTCGCCGGCTTCGACGACGACGCACGGCAACTCTGTACCTACACTCGCTCCTCTAACTTACCGCGCGCAGCGCGCAGCGATATATCTAGCTCACCTTCCTGCATCGAACACCGGTCTTTCCGCGGAGAAGCTCACGACTTTCGAAGGGATCGAACTGGCGGAGGCGTACATGTGCGTTTCGTTCCGTAGGACGGGATGACTGGGCTTATGCTCGTGCAGCAGGATATACTACGAGCGCGCACCAATACCTGGCACGCTCATGGGATCGCGCGTGTAGGACGAGGGTTCTCGCGGTGCACTTCTATGTCGGAGCGGGATCGAGCGCGTACGCTCATGTTGAGACTCGCGGCGGAACATGTCCCTCGACGCGAATACGATTACGGACGTTCTATACCAGCCTTACCAGCCCCACATGCGCCAAACCTGTCAAGCCTACCTAGCGCATACATGCTGCATCAGCGAACCGGCGCTATCCAGTTCTTTTCTTGCAGTACCTTCGCGGCAGGACACTGTACACTTCCACATACACACACGCACTAAGTACTACCCATGACCAAGGTCATGCACCAGCACTTCGAGGCGTCGAAACGTTCGGCTCGTTACGGCTTCGAGCCAAGACGGCAACTTAGAGCCTAGAGGACGCCTGGTGCAGCCGGATTCACTCCAGCGGTCCGATGTGCCTCGCGCGGCGCGCCAACCTCGACGCGCTTGTGTCCAGCGCATTCCATCCAGTCCGCATGCGCGCATACTTACAGCCTTACATGCTCTTGCATCCAGGGTGGATGCTTGATGAGGATGCGCGCACCGACGGTCAAGGAGGAGGATACGGTGGCTACGCCTGGTTGCTACGCAGCACATCTATGAGGTGACGAGGGAACACATCTCTATCTCGAGTTGAGTCGAGGAGTGACGCGAAACGCGTGCGTATATCACACAGCTTTGAACCGGTTTTGGCAATGGTTTCGCTGATGCGACTCTCGTCCAGGTTGTCGATGCGCGGCTTCAAGCTGCTGAGTAATGTCCATGCATAGAATAAGTAGACAAGAGCCCGAATCGCTGTACCGTATGATACATTGTCAATCAAAGACGCTTTGTCCTATCGCCGCAACTTCGTCAACTTCGATCTGCCTCCGCTCGCCTCGCTCTTCGTCTCTATCCATCCCGCCGTACCCCGTCGTCTATGCCATAGAGCCACTGCGAGGTCCAGCATCCTTTCCCGCTCTCGCATCAATCACCGCTGCTTCGTCCGGGCCTCTATTCGCCACGTGCGCATCACGATCACTATCGACGGTGACCATCTCTAACTCGGGCGCTCCAGCTCTGCCCATCTCATCCTGGCCTGGCCCGTCGCCTGTATCATACACGCCAGTGCGAGGTCGAGCATTCATATCAACGTCTGCCTGCGCTCTCGCGTTGAGCGCAGCTTCATCCGAAGCCTCTCTGTTCTCCGTATGTTCATCGCGATCATGGGCAATGGTGACCATCTCTAACTCGGGCGCTCCAGCTCTATCCGTCTCGTCCTGGCCTCGCTCACCAAAGAGCTGCGCTGCCATCACAGTCGCTGGATCGTGTCCAAGCTCGACCGGGTCAACAGCGCTGTTCGACCCCTCATGCCGTCCTCCGGATGAGCCGGCAGCGGCATCTTCCCCGAAGGTGGCAAGGCCGGAGGCCCCATGTTCCGGGTCCGCGGGCAGAGCGCGAGCGCTTTCGACGTTGGCATCTATCGTCGAGATTGCAATATTACGGGGCAAAAAGGACGGAGGATCATCTGAGACGTCTGCGATCGATTGAGCAGGAGGAGGATGTTCCGAGTTAGGGTCGGTGCCCAAGATGGGCGATGTCATGGGCGGATGAGGCTGAGCAGCGACCGTTGCACGCTCGAAGTATGCCTCGAAGTTGACGTACTCTGCGAGTGTTCGGAGTATGCGAACACAGAACCGGCCATCGCCGATGGTGAGGAAGTTATGCTTAGGCCCATGGCGAGGTTCAGTATCGAACGTGCTCCCAAGCTCAAGCCATTCGTCAAGGCCCGCCAGTCGTAGAACATTCACAAACTCGGGGGAGGGGATCCTCGCCCTGTCATCTCCTAGCATGACGATATTCTCCTCAAGCTGTTTCTCCTTAGCGATACGATACAGAGTGTATCCGGCGGACTGCCTTTGTTCGTCAGTGGAGTTCAATATGTGTGCAACGACTGTCAAGGCGTTGCACGCTGCTACATGTGCGCGACCTTCGGGGGTCAAAACACCTTTCCAGCTTTTGCAACAGTCGTCGTCGTGCAACGGTAACAATTTTGACTCGTTTGCATGTTTCCATCCATACCATAGTGAGTGGTTCCCACTGATGAGCAAAAGGAGAACCGCGCTGGGATGGCGTCCTCTAAGCTCGAACTTCTCCCAGTCGTTTGCTTCAACGAAGATTGGCAGCACTTCCTCTTCCTGAAGCGCAGTCATCTTCGTAGACGCCTTCAGACAGAGTTTCAGAAGGGACATTCGTACACTTCCAAGGCATAGCAGAGCCAGAAGCCGATCAGGCCCGTCGGTTTCCGCTATCAGAGACACTGTGCCAATCACACCCAGAAGCACCGGGCTCGTGCGTGCAACAACCTCTAGATTGCCATCGCCGTAGTGTTCAACCTCTGAAGCGAACATTCTCTCGGAGAGATACGATACAAGCAAGAATATATCCCAGGGAACGGGCGCTGACGAGGAGTTGCTATTGTGATTCTCCAAGAAACCCAGAAGATAATAGCAAAATCTTACAATGAGCTCTGTGTCGGCGCATAACTTGCTTAGTACCTCATCTCTTCCCTGGTGCAGATCGATGAAGGAAGGTAATAGTTTGAAAAGTCGCTCCCCATTCTCTTGCGATATATGGGGTGACGTGTGCGCCCACAGGAATGAACCTCGAGTACCGGTCAAGAATTCCTCTACTGGTCGACCAGTCACCTCTACTTGGCCACCTACGTACTGCCTTGTAATAAGGTCATGGAGCGTCGTCTTGTCTCGAATGTTGGCCTTCTTGCGCAAAGACATAAAAACGCCGCCGATTCGGGTGTGATGAACGGACCAGGAGACGAAGGCCATCACGTATGTGATGGGAGTTCTGTACGGACAGCTCTTCTCAAGTAGAGGCAGGAGACTGGCGACGCAATAGACGATCACGAAGACCCCAAAGATCGCGGTAGCGATGCCAGCCACGGCATTGTCGATAGGGAAGAGAAAGACTAAAAGACCGCACGCGAAGAGAAAGACCGCGAGATGCACCAAGGCGACAATCCACGATACGAATTGATCCATTCCATAGCGATTGACACCCATACGGATGAAGATGTGATTGAAGGCCCGTTCGCGCATGCTCTCGTGAAGTACCTTTCGTCTATTGATATCCTGCACGTAGGCTCGAGCCCATTCTTGAACGAGAGTCGATAGCAGCGCGCATATGAGAGAGATCAAGAGACTCGTAAACCATAGAGCATTTGTAGCGATGGCCGCAGGTGGAGTGGAGAATGGCTCGGGCGTCGCGATGATGACGGGAAGGCCTGAGGACGCGTTCGCAGTTGCGACAAGGAGCTGGGAGAGGAGTTGGACGGTCTGATCCCCAGAATCGACAGACAACAGTTTGTAGCTCTCGACGATGAACGCCGCTACGGTCGCGGCGAATAGACCTGTCTACAGAGCGTCGTCAGCAAGGGCGCAGACTCGCAATGAGCTATACGCACGAAAGTGAGAATGCCTGTCGTGCTACCCTCCCAGTTCTTTGGGCGCGCCGCATCCTCATCCTTAGACGCCCGCAGGTACGTGTCCCAGATGAAGTCTTCTGGCTCCGCATACTGAGGCTTGTCTGAGTCGTTCTCGGGCATTGTAGAGATAAAGGAGTTGCGTTGTCGAGCGAATAAGACAAGGTGAGTGTAGAAGACACAGTGCTGACCGCCGTCTCTGACTCCTGCTGCGAGACAACGACGAACATGACCCTCTTGGGTGCGTCTTTCATAGCGTCTAACGATGCGCACGCATGCGGCGTGGTGGACCGGCCTTGGCCGCGCATCCCACGACAGCCACATCTCGAATACATACCGACCGTATACACAAGTCGCTCCGTGTACATCAAGTGCAACGCGGCTATCTCGCGCCGCGAATGAACACACTGTATGAGCCCCAGATTTTCATCGTCGTGGCAAAAGGCAAGATGAGCCCTGCGCGTCACGCGTCTACGACGCTTCAGAATTCAGCCTCTTAAACTAGGCTCACGTGAGCGCCTCGTTTAATGCGGGAGGTCTTGGTGACTTGGTCGAGACTGTTTGGATTATATCGCAAAGCATTTTGTACGCTGTCGTGCGACCACGATCGTCTCTGGTCGTGGCAAGAGGCAAGTCGCGAGCAAGCGCACTCGGTCCGCAATCTTCGAGCGCAACCACCACCACTAGTACTTACAGACGTGCTCCTCGAATGGGACGCCATGGCGACCTTTTCTACGCTATTTTCCCGTCTAGGCGCCCTCTGATGCGGGGCAGGCTTTGCGGCCCTCCAACCTTCCGTGCGCGGCAATCCAGCATATTCCTGTATTGAACGGGATCAATGCCACGGAGAAGTTGCGCATCGTTGAGCGAGCCGGTGGGGGCGCCGGACGTGCAGTGGACGCATTGTAGCACTGCAGCACAGGGAGAAGGCTATTTACGCTCCACTATCGGGTTCGGGGTGTAGGGGCAGGAGCGGGACGGGGCAGGTACATCTCATTCTGGGAGTCGGATTGACTAGGCGCTGAACTATTTACAGATATGTAAAGATGATTTGCGCGCCGAAACCAGGGAGAGGTGTGCGCAAACTACGAAGCTACGGAGAAGAGTGTGCTTCTTTCAGGCGAGCGCGTGCCTGCGCGTGCGCCCCTCCCTCGCCTCGCCGCAGCAACTCTCTACCCACACGCGGTCCTCCTCCGAGACATCCACACACGGCAGCCCAGCTTCCAACGCGGTATCGACTTCCCCCTCCTTCCGACTTGGACCTGATGACTCTCACAAAGAGGGTACGGTCTCGTGAGGAGAAAGTTCGAGTGAGCCTACAGGTGTACGCGCTGCGAACGGTTGGACTATCCATACAGCACCGCGGAGGCGAAGCTTGCGGTGTAGGAACGGGGCAGGGTGCGTGCAGTTCACTCCGAGAACAAGACGACTCAGCGCTCATACTCACGTAGCACTCACTAGGAACGCGCTCACTAGGATCGCGCTCGCTACGGTCCAAAAGTGGAACCTGATAGCCACGCCCAGCTGGCGCCCTCACGGCGCGCGAGTGCTTAAAGCTGGAACGGGGTCGAACGCGCACACTCATCCCGGCGTGAAATACTACTCTCAACTGAGAGCTTGGTCATCGACGTCAAACATACTCCTTCGCTCTACGGGAACGGCAAGTACCACTTGCGCCAACGCCTCCATGCATACGCCATGGATACTCGCTCCATCGCCCAGATTGCGCAATATCATCTCTCCAAGCATCAATACCCGACGCCGATGCGATGCCTCTCCTCGTCAAGGACAAGAGGGCACAGGCCACCTATAGTCGTCGTGCCGAGGTGCGCGCTCCTCTACAGACCCGATGGACGACCACTGTTACGCTCGGATCGCAATCCACCCGCTGCCGCGCCGCGAAGCTTCCTTGTGCGCTCGGTCGCGTCGCTTACCACGCGCAACAGTGGTTCAACATTCCACTGGCTGTCCCCGCGCGCCGTCAGCTTTGACTCCAACGATCGTCCGCTACTCTCGCCTAAGCAGACTCGGCGTCACAGGGCTCCCAGCCTGGCGGGTGGATCGAGATCGAGATTGTCGTCCACCCGCCCACCCACACGCGACGAACCCGACTTCGATGCGCGCCAACTTTGCGGTCTCACGCGGCAACTCACTGCCCGCGCGCGGCAACCCATCATTCCCTCGTCCGAAACACGATCATACTCGCGGAGAAGCTGCAATCTCGTGTGGACGAAGCTTGATCGGGCCAGTAGAGGCGTCGTGCACGCAGAGGACGCATCGTAAAGGCAGAAGGCTATTGGCGCCCTCGTATGGGCTAGGAGTGAAGGATGAGTGTGGGTAGGGGAGCGGGGCGGAGCAGGGCTGCACAGTACGAGCGGAACGGAATCGGTGTGTTTCACCCCGACCGACGGATCGACTGAGCGCTCATTTGTTCGTAGATCATGATGCTCAGAGAGGATGAGCGCATCGACGACCAGGAGATGCACACGCAAGCGATAACTGGCCGTTACCCGTCATGCCCACGAAACGACGAGGGAGCACCTCTCCATCTCAGGGTCCGCGCGCTTCCACGATAGATGCGCGGTCGAGCGCGTACGCTCATCTCAAGCGTGCGGAACGTCGCCCTCGGCTCCGAGTCCATCATTGTTCGATGCGCCCTCCGCGACTTTTACGCTCCATATCGGGGCGCGCGTGCTTCTATGTACGGCTAAAGCAGTGCTAGAGTGTGTTCACTCATCTCCGGAGTCGGGCGCGCATAACAGCAACTTCAACTCGAACCGTCATCCTATAGGCCATACCAGCATGACAGATGCATATGCCGACCCACTCAAGCAAGGAGGCTTGAGTTGAGGATTGACGCGAAACGCGTGCGTGCATCCCGCAACTTTGAATTCATTCTGATGACGGTCCCGCTGATGGACTATGTTCCAGGTTGTCGATGCGCGGCTTCAAGATGCTGGATAATGCGCATGCATATAAACTACACGAGAGCCCGAATCACTGTACTGTACGATACACTGTCAATCAGATCCACCTTGTTCTATCGCCGCAACCCGTTCCCTCGCGGACCTCACCACTCAACGCTTTCAGTTGCGTCTTGTCCCTATGCATCGCGCTGAATCCCGTCGTCAACATCACGAAGGCCGCTGCGAGGTCGAGCATCCATATCAACGTCTGGCCGCGCTCTCACACCGGGCGTGGCTTCATCCGAAGCTTCCCTATTCTTCGTATGTGCATCGCGATCATGGGCAATGGTGACCATCTCTAACTCGGGCGCTCCAGCTCTATTCGTCTCGTCCTCGCCTCCCTCACCAATGAGCTGCGCTGCCATCAGAGCGGCAGGACTCTGCTCAAGCTCGACAGGGTCAACAGCGCCGCCCGACCCCTCATGCGGGCCTCTGTATAAGCCGGTAGCTGGATCGTTCCTAATGGCAAGGGCGGAGGCCCCATGTTCCGGGTCCGCGAGCAGAGCGCGAGCGCTTTCGACGTTACCGTCTATCTTTAAGGTTCGAGGGTTACGCGATGATGTTGACTCTGTGTCATCTAAGACGTCTGCGATCGGTTGAGTAAGAACAGGGTGATTCGAGTTGTTGTTGGCGTTCAGGGTCAGCAATGCCATGCACGGGCGCTGAGCAGCTGCTGCACGCTCGAAGTATGCTTCAAAGTCAACGCACCGCGCGAGTCTCTGAAGTACGTCGACACAACTACCGCCTACGACATTACCAGTGAGGAATTGATAGATAGGGCCTCTGCGAGGTACAGTGAATGTGGTCTCTGGCTCAAGCCATTCGTCCAGGCCCGCCAATCGCAAAATGTCCACAAACTCGTGGGAGGACATCTTCATTCTGTCATTCCAAGGAATGACAGAGTCATCCTTAAGCCATCTCAACGCGTCGTACAAGACAAAATCCAGAAATAAGTCAGCGAATCGTAGTTGCTCGTCGGTGGAGGTTATTATGTGTGCAATGACTGTCAAGGCGTTGCACGCTGCTACATGCGCATGACCTTGAGGGGTCAAAAGACTTCTCCAGCCTCTGCAACAGTCGTCATCGTGTAAGGGTAACAGGTTTGACTCCTCCATACGCTCCCAGTGGTTCCTGGAGTATGTCCCACTGACGAGCAAAAGGAGAACCGCGCTAGAATGGCGTCCCTTCAGGAACTCGTGGTGCCCCCATATGCGTGTTTCAAAGAAAAATTCTGACACTTCTTCTTCCTGAAGAGCCGGCATTGTCGAAGACGCCCTCAGACAAAATCTCACGATGGATGTTCGTACACTTCCAAGGCATAACTGAGCCCGGAGTCGAGCAGGCCCATCGACTCCTGCTATCAGAGACACCACGCCAATCGCATGCAGAAGTATCGCGCTGGTGCGTGCAAAAGCCTCTGGATGACCATGACTGTATCGTTCGACCTCTGAAGCGAACATTCTCTCGGAGAGATATGATACCAACAGGAGTATCTTGAGGAAGATGGGGTCCGACGAGGTATCGATAGGCTCAACCGCACGGTATATCCGATCAAGATGCAGGTACAAGCTCTTCACGAGTTCGTTGTCGGCACATAATAATGTGCTCAATAGCGCATAGGCTCCGTCTCGGTGCAAATCAATGAAAGAAGGTAGCGATTCAAAAAGTTGCTCGTAGTTCTCTGGCGATATATGAGGATACGTGTGTTCCCACAAAAATGAACTTCGAGTATCGGTCAAGAATTCCTCTACTAGTCGCCAATCGACCCATACCTGGCCACCTACGTACTGCCTTGTGATGAGGTCACGAAGCGTTCTCTGGTCCTGATTGTTGGCCTTCTTGCGGAAAGACAAGAAGACACCGCTGATTCGACTACGAAGAACTGACCAGTAGGCAAAGGCCATCAGGTATGTGATGGGAGTTCTATATGGACAGCTCTTATCAAGGAGAGGGAGCAGGCTGGACCCACAATATATGATCACGAAGAGTCCGAGGATCGCGGTAGCAATGCCAGCCACGACGTGGTCAATAGGGAAGAGGAAGACCAGAAGCCCACACGCAAAGAGAAAGACGGCCAGATGCACCAGCGCTACGATCCATGAAACGAACTGGTCCATTCCGTAGCGATTGACACCCATGCGGATGTATATGTGATTGAATGCGCGCTCCATCAGGCTCTCATGGAGGACCTTTCGTCTATTGATGTCCTGCACGTAGGCTCGGGACCACTCCTGCACCAGGGTTGATAATAACGCGCATATAAGCGAGATCAATAGACTCGAGAACCATAGGACATTCGTAGCAATGGCTGCGGGTGGGGTGGAGAACGGTTCGGGCGTCGTGATGACGACGGGAAAGCCTGAGGACGCGTTCGCGGTTGCGACGAGGAGCTGCGAGAGGAGTTGGACGGTCTGATCACCGGAGTCGACGGAGAGGAGCTTGTAACTCTCGACGATGAACGCCGCCACGGTCGCGGCGAATAGACCAGTCTAGCTTATCGTCAGTGTATAAACTAGGTTTCGATACGAGGGGCACGCACAAACGTCAGGATGCCTGTCGTGCTGCCCTCCCAGTTCTTCGGGCGCGTCTCGTCCTCGTCCTTAGACGCCCGCAGGTACGTGTCCCATATGAAGTCTTCCGGCTCCGCATACTGGGGTTTGTCTGGGTCGTTCTCGGGCATTGAAAAATAGATGCTGTACAATGTCGTGCGGATGATAGAAGACGAGCGCAGGAGGCACGACGTTGCGTGTCATGTCCAGCGCCTAGTACGAGACATGAATGGATATGACCTTCCTCATACCTTCCTAGGCGCATCGTTCCCAGCGTCTAGCAATGCGCATGCCTGCGGCGTGGCTTGACAGGCCGTGAACAGCAAGCTCAGCCACATTATTGTAATAGTTCTATGTCATGGGCTATGAATAAACATTTCAACGTGAATCCAGCGCTTCCGAGTAGTACGACCGGAGTACGACCGTGATGGTCTCTGATCGTGGCAAGATGGAAGTCGGGGGCAAGCCCGGCTCGCAATCTCTGAACGCAACCACAACAACCCGTCCCTCTGCACCCTTTACACGAGTCAACACCAGCTGCGACACCCGCCAGCAATGAATGTGTCACTGAAGATCGATTACAAATACTCCTCTGGTTGATATACCGCGATGTACACGTTCTTCGATTGCCTAGTACTTGTCAGTCGTCCACGGCAAACGCGCGCCGTAGTCTTGTACGTGCGTTCAGAATGCACCACCTTTAGTATCGCACGTGGAATACGAACGAGCCAGTTGGAATTTTAAACTTGATACTCAAGGGCGCGATCGCGCCCCTTCGCTTTGCGGTGCGTGCCTACTCTTCTCATTCTGAGCGCGAGGACTGACCCAAGGCAACAGCATACGTAAGAAGTCTCTTGTTGCCGACAATACGACACGTACAGCCGGTGCGTAGCACGTCGAAAGCGGGCTACGCCTGGTCGATATCCAACAGGCGTCGGCAAGACGAGCGCATTCAAAGGCGTCGTGCTCCTGTGGCTAGCTCATCGCAGGGCAGAACATCGCCCTTGACTCGGACGTGGCCACCGACATTCTAGATACACCCTCGCTATACGTGGAACGACCGGCACGACAACGCACGAGCCGCACAATCCCTCAACCTTGTCCAATGTGTACAAGCTGTATCGATCAGGCCCGGCCCGCTCTCCGGCTTCTCCCTCAAAATATGCCCACGACGGACCACCGCATATATCCACCTATATTCCACGCGATGGCACTCTCCGTTGAGATCGAGAGCGTGCAGTGCAGCCAGCCCATCGGAGCGCCGAAGCGTCCGTCACCCGTTAGCACTTCAAGCCTCTACGATTTGGAGGACGTCGCAAAATACAGTGCGGGGACTCGAAGGTCACTCCATCGTGTCGGTTCGGTCATACGCGCTCTCTCTCATTGAATGCCGCCCGCTCCTCTTCCATAGTTAAGGGGCAATAAAGCGCAATCACTCGAGTATGCGCGCACACACTGTCAGCACTACATCCACCTCTTCCTCGTGTGCGACAAGTCGGTACTTGTGCGCTCTCCGGCCTTTGGAGACTTGCGGAGGGATGTCCATGATGGGTCTCTTTCACGGCGGTCCTCGGCGATTGGAAACCGATCCACGCTTCCCGATGTACATGGAAAGGCACGGCACGACTGCCTGCAATGCCAACATCATCTACCGTCTATAAACTCTCCAAGTCGAACGCCGCTCTTCCCTCCCAACGCCTCAAGGCGGCGCGCGACGAGACAGTTGGCTTTGGACGCTAAGCAGCTCGTTCACCATGCAAGGAAAGAGACGATGGCAGCGATGGACGCGGGATGACGCGTTTGCGATTCGTGGGAAGGAGGATGGCGAAAGGCAATATATTTTACGCAAACGTGTATAGATCGCGTACATCCACCCGCATCTAAATGCTAGAGCTCGACTGACGTTTTCCTTCCTCTCTTGTAGAGGCGCGGTCAACACCACCCACAACATACTCGGCGCTTGCCCCTCAGGAACCCAAAAAGTCCCCGCAATGCGCCCACGGTCTGCATCTGTGCCCGAAACCTGAACCCAAGCGCCCGCCGCGTCATCTCGCCAATAGGCTCGGCCCAAGTCTCCTACCTTTATACCCTAAGCAGGGGACGACTGAGGCGCCACGAAGTACGACATACCCATGAAAGCTGGCGAAGCCGTCGCTCGGGTCGGCGTTCGTCGATGGATCGGATCGGTATTCTGGGCGCTGAGCGCTAATCTTTCAATAGTATCATGATGTGATGCGCATCCAGAATCGGAATGGCGGCGGCCTCGGACTTCCCCTGGTCGGCGGTGGTGGCAAAGACTCAGCGATATATTCGTCTGCATCGTACTCGGCGTCTTCTCCACCGGAAGGATATCCGCCGGACTTCCCATGGACGACGTTTCATCACCGTCGCAACATCGACTGCCCTGCCCTCCAACTCCTTCGAGAATATCGATCGCATATCAACGGAGGTCAAGGAGAGTCGGATGAGGTTTGCGCATGTTACCAACGGTTGTGGTTCGTAACGTATGATATAGATACGCCCTCTGCAAACTGTAGTGATCGTTAGCTTGTAGTGACGAAAGAAATGCCATGTCAAACGTTCTGCCACGGCTGGCGAGATATGATAAGCATCTTGAGTTACCAGAATGCCGAACAGAGTAAGCTGCGATAGTCAGCAGAGTTGCCGAGACGATGTGTATCGCAGAGACATAGGTCCAGAATTCACTCGCAGTTATCGAACAGCATGGTTATCATTGAGCTAAGCAACGCAAATCAAGCATATATTTATATACAGCAGTCAGATATACACAAAGGGTGGCAGAAGTCTCACAAAACGAGTAGACATCAGTCTAAAGCATGCCTTTTACCGAGTCAAGGCGGTCAGCCTGATAGCAGTTCTCCGAAGGTTCATCGCCGGTATGGCACGGCCGAGGGTGGCGGCGTCCTCCTGTTGCGTTCATACACGCCCACAGGCGGGGGTGGGCCCGGTGCAGCATAGTACTCCCTATCGCGCGCCTCTCTCCCATAGTCGTATGCATCATCGCGCGGGCGCTTCAGGGGTGGGCGCCGGTCATCGATTGGGCTGCGACTCCGGGGTCGAGTACGCGGTTCGTTGTAGGGCGGGTAGGCTGCGCTTGTTGGTGTCGGTGGGAGGTACGGCGCCGGGCGGTCGTACGTAGCGGGTTTCGGACCAGGTGGATAGAACGGATCACGCGGAGGTGGAGGAGCCGCTCGCTCGAGCTCCCGCGGGCGCCCAATGTCCATCCTACGATCGTCGCGTATCGGCGCAGGGGCGGGCGCAGCGCGGTAGGGCTCGCGCTCCCACTCTGGAGCGACTCGTGCCGGCGGCGCGCGACCTCTATCATCGTACGGTCGTGGTGCGGGCGGAGGCCGGGTATCCAGTGGCGCGCGAGTATCATAGGCGGGTCTCCCTTGATACTCTGCCCGGACGGGAGGGCGCTGCGGTTCTCTCCGAGGCGGTTCGGCGGGGTACCGCTCTCTGGGTGGGGGTGACACAGGACGAGGGGGCGCAGGAGGTTCATAACGACGGTGAGAGACGGTGGGCGGAGGGCCGCCGCGCGTCTCGAGCCTGGGTACGTCGACACGGCGATCGGGGGGAGGTGGCGGTGGTGGCGGGCGATCGTAGTTTGCGGGTCGGCGTTCTAGGGACCGATGGCGCAATTCGGGGGTTCTGGGACGAATGTTGGGTCGGGTATCGCGACGGTAATCCAATGATGGCGGTGGCGGTGGTCGTGTAGCTGATATGGGCGTACGAGGGCGGGCCATGGTCGCAGGGCGTGGACGCGATACGGGGGATTCTGGGCGTATGTAGCTCATTGTGCGCGGCCGTTCCACAGGCGGATCCGGACGACGTTCGCGGAATTCATTCGGCGGCGGCGGACGACGGTCTTCACGATCAAGGGGTGGAGGGCGAGCCTGTGGAGGGTAAGAAAGACGTTCTGGGCTGGATGGCATTCTGTCTGAACGTGGCGCATCTTGTTCTGGCTCAACAGGTCGCTGAGACCGACTATCAGTCGCGCCGCGGGGACTTGTGGTCGACAGTGTGCGGTTCCGGGCTTCCAGAGCATGGACAGAACCTGCCATGCGCGGTGGCAACGTGCGACCTGTTTCCTCAGAACGAGCAGGTAGAGGTGGTGCATCGCTGATACGCTCTTTCAGAGATGGTGTCCGAACAATGGAAGTATCAGGGCGTTCCGAGATCTGAGCAACAGGGCTTGGAGAAGACGGCTGGCCATTCGATGCAGAAGATGGCACCATAGACCGGGAGCGTGCAAATATAACTCCGGGCGGCGAGGATAGAGAATGAGTAGCACTGATAGCGTCAGGCGAAGCCACTCGGCGCTTGCCATCGAGAGATGGGCGCCTTTCTTCAAGCATAGGTGCACGATGATCGAAAGAGTGAGAAAGCGGACGGCTATTCAAATCGTGTGAATGTTGCTCGACCAGCGAACGACGGCGGGCATCGTCGTCAAGATGATTTGCCTCGTTGGCCGGCCGTGTATCAACAAGATCGCGCCTCTCCGCGGGAGCGTGAGGCCCTCGGCGCTCCACAAATACAGGGCGGCGCTCGCTCACAGAAGGACGGCGCTGAACGGGCGCTCTGCGATCATTATCCAAGCCACGAGGATCCTCGTCTTTGGAGTGAAGACCTTCGGAGTTTCTACCCTCTTCGAAACGTCTGCTCTCCGAAAATGGTCGCCGCTCCGCTGGACTGGAGACTCCATTCGTTGAAAGCTTGAAGACAGCATTAGATGGTCTATCCGGTACGGGCCGGCGATCATCGAGCACTGCGACGCCACGGGGCTCAGATCTCAATCCGTCGGCCATCCTATCCTCAAGTCTGGGGCGGGAGATAGTGGGACGATCAGCCATCGCATGCGGAAGGTGGGTCGATCGTTCTGAATCGCGCCCACGTCCAGTTTCCGAACGAAAATGTTCGTTTCGAGGATGTAGATGAGGCTCTGACCGATGCTCGTAGCGTGAAGTGCGAGAACGAGGTTCAATACGTGACTCCAAGTCTAGGCGCCTCGCGAGCTCAGGTGGTCGTTCATATATGTTCCTAATCTCTTCCTGAGGTTGCTCGTTGGTTTTGGATTCTATGTTATCAAGCTGCCGAGCGTTATCCAGAACGGGAGGAGCATCCAGAGAGCCAACAGGCGGAGGAGAAGAGATATGATCCGTAGTCTGTTCACGTCGCCCTTCGTGAGAGGACCCATCATGCGAGCGATTATCATGATCCGAAGATATAGCATCAGTGTGAGACTCAATGGCGTGTTCAAGGGCATGATCCTGAGAGGAGGACATGGAGGTCTGTGTCAAGGGTGTCAGAGGCTCGACGCTCATTTCGGGCTTGACATCTTCCACAGCCTCTGAATGCGTAATGGCAGCGTGGGAGATAGCTTCATTTGGCGACTGAATCAACAGGCGTGAGCTCATATCGAGCGTGGCAGCGGGGAAGCCACGTACATCTGTAGAGAGCGTGATGGGTTCAACTTGATGCCCGGACGACCCATTCGGAACAGATGCAACAGAAGGATCTCGAGTACCAAGGAAAGTTGCGTTCTGTGGGAAAACGGGAGCGCCAATTGAACCGTTCCGAGACTCATTCCGGGAGCCAGCCAATTCTGAGGAAGAATCCAGTTGCCGTTCTGTAGGCTGCGACACAGGGCCATCTGAATCTGAACCGGTAGTCGCTGGACCTTGCCAGAGACTGGCCAGAACTGCAGGCCTAGGAACCGCGCGAAAGAGTTCATGCTGATTATTCTTAATGGCATTCTTGAGACGCTCGAGAGCTTCCAGGTCCCCTAGGCCGGGAGGTGATATCGGGTTTGGCATGAATGCAGACAATTGCGGATGTATAGATGCCTCTTCACGAGATAGACCGGAGATACGGTCGTTCGTATCAGCATCAATGGATTCAAGACCGTCTTGATCCATAAAGGGCGTAGGATTTCCGAGAGAGTGGTGATAATAGGGTGGCGGAGAGACGCGTATGAGCTCCCAAAACTTCCAAGGGATAGATGTGAGATCTCGGTTGCAGGCTTTGGATCGTATTCAGGGACGTCGTAGTGCTTCGGAATGGAGTGTGAAAGATGCGTGACTCTGAAGGGGGAACTGAAGATAGGTCGGACTAGTACTATTATGAGCATATGTCAGTTCATATCGATAATCTGAGGGAATGGGGACGTACATGAAAGGATATTCAACCCTAACCAGCGTCTCCCAGAGGTTCCTAGGCGATACCGAACGCCTCTTGCTCTCCTTGAGCGACGCGTACGTGGTGGTGAGAAGCAACTCGTGGTGGGAATTGGGAAGCGAAACTCCCCGTTGGCCACGCCGCTGGCGCGCAATCTTCTCCCGTACGTCACACGTAAGGTGCGGAGTTTGCCGACTTCGTCTCAAACGCTCGAGTATTGTTGGAATGCATCTTGTCTCCCGCGTTCACGAGCCCCACCACGATAGTAACTCTTCTACTCAGTATGAACCTTGAAGGCGCCTCCGAGTTCATCGATGATGAAGACGAGGATACTTATCTCCGACAGTGACGAAGGCTCGGAACCTAGCCTTCGCTTTACTCGCAACACGTCGTAGACGGGCTGCCACTTACTCTCGTCGCAACCCACACCCAGCATGACGAACTCCCTCATACATATATCATTGCTCATAGCGCTGTCACCCCGGGCACAAACGGGGAAAAGATCCGCGTGGCGTATGCCGAAAGCGTTTTTATCGAGCGGGAGGAAGTCCTTGACACGGGCGAAGACGAATGGTTCTTTCGTATGGACGCCGAGTCTCATGACACGCTTAATCTCTACGAACAAGTTCTGGGCGAGGATGGCCGGCTACGAGAGTCCATCGTTCGTGGATCCAAATGGGGCTCGAGTGTGTGGGGCCACGAACTCGACGACGGAGCTTTCATGCCCATCAAATATCTCTACACCAATCAGGACTACCGCTCTCGCGGACTCGCGAAGTGACTTCTCCGCCAGATTGTCTCTAGTCCCTACTTGTCCGTCCTGTCAGACGCGGGGACCGTGACGTGCTCCTGGGTCTTCGCGTGGCCTTTCCCAGTAGAGAGCCGCGATGAGCAGGGAGAGGTGATCGTCAAGCAAACGTTCAGGACGGCTGGCTTCTCACAAGTCGGCACCACGAGCTTCTGGGCTTACTCTCTCGCTGACGACCAACACCATTCCCGGGTGACCGCCATCACGCAACAACACGCCCTCTAGCATCGGTGTATATCCGAGGACGCTTGCAGTAAACTTACTCTCTTGGATGTCCGACTCATTGTCTCCGGACATCGGGTATCTCTCTCTTTGTTTTCATACTACCATACTATATACTTCTCCCGACTTGCAAAGTTCAGCCGTTGTATCCTTACCTTATCATCATGGACTGCGACCCCTCTGCGCTTCAACTCACGAAGTGGCCGTAGACTCCATATTCTACTCATATGCGGCATCGCCAAAGTGACCTCGCATGTGCGATGACCCTTACCTTAACTCATGAAATAGCCTATTGACTTACGAACTAGGCAGGTTAGGTATGCGGCGTGAGGGGTGACAGGATAACGTATGTCGAGGCCGATCCTGAAGAGCGTGATTGCGATTCCGGTTGCACTCTCGCCAGTGGCGGATTGACCGTCCGTCGTGCTGTAGCATGCTCGCAAACATGTCCATCTTCCAGTATCTGATGTCGAGGGTATGATGCAAGTTGGCTGGTCATAATACGCAGCTTGCACATGTTCGACGTCGTAGATTGATCTTATCTGGGCTGCGCTCATGATCTAGATTTGGATCATCGATGCTCGAATCGTCTGTTTGTACGAAGTGAACCACCATATCTACCCGACTGCTTGTAATGGGAAGTTCCGAACGTTCAGGCTTCAAGCTTCAGGTCCCATCTTAGCTGCGCAACCTCCTAGCCTGAAGCCGCACACAGCTCGACGATCATGGTCATATAGAAGCATCTACGAGCGCTCACCATTCATCACTCTCGATCCTATATCAAAAACCCCTAGCTCATTCTTCTTCGCTTTACCGTCAACACGATGGAGGTCACATATGCAGAGTTCGGCAGATACCGACGTGGGAGAAGACCTCGATGCATGCACAGTCAAGTATGCGAGCAGAGTAGGTGGGTTTGGGATCCATTGCCCACGACTACGGGGAACTATCGGTCTATGCGCGCCATTGAAGAGCAAAGGTCCACGGACCAGTCCAGCTAGTCATGTTTTTGGCTCCGGCGCTTCCCATAGCTCGTCGCGATGAAGACGGGGACCGGTTTCGATGGAAGGAATTCGATAGCGTAGGCGCTTCATCGCGGATTGGGACGTCCATTACATGTAGATCTAGGGTGTGTATCTCGCGCGAAAGCTCGGATAGAGCTGATAGCGTAGAAGACATGCAGCCACTCCAGTGAGGCGCAATGAATGGGTAGAAGAACGGAGCCAGCAGCGTGACCGAGGAGTTTTGGCGTAACCGCGAGTGAGGGGAATCAGCGCACAAGTGGCGCATACGCCGCGGAAGGGCGGAAGTACGTGCATGCGTGGTCTTGTGAGTGCACAGGACTCTTGCTTGGAGCAAGTCCGTGCAGGGACCGTGCCACTTGGTGCGAGCGACCCTGCGCCAGAGTTCTACAGCTTGAACCGATGACTTACGGGAAGTGCAAGTGGAAGGTAAGCGCTATGAGATAGGACTGGAGCACAGCCTCAACGAACGAGCTTCCGTGTGTTCTAGTAGAAGTTCTTAGCGCTACGCCGGACGATGGTAAAGGAGGAGGAAGCCAGGAGATGTGCATACTCCTGAGGGCAGTGGTGCACCAATCGGCCGCCGATGAGCAATCCACGATACTTATAGGAATGGCGAAGTAGCATGGAGACTCAGTGGAGAGAGTGTACGATCAGAGGCGTGAGATAGCGGTACTCGAAAGAAGGGTGGGGCTGTGGCGAACGGGTCTTCCAGAACACAAGAGTGATGGCGGCGAAGTGCGGCTACCACGTTGCCGCGTAGACGCCCGTGGCCAATGAACCTGAACTCTCGAAGCACGAGTCTTCCTCTCTGCCCCCGCCAAGCCCTCGCGTTCAGACAAGGTAGAAATGTTCAGCAACGACCACCTGAGACTCTGACAGCGTATCAGAAAGGTTGACAAACGAAGCGAGGATCAGGTGGACAAACACAACAGCGGCGGCTGCAAGCCTGCAACGGCCGGAACATCCTCAGGCTGCTGCCTCATCGACAATTGAACCTCATGTGCCAAAATCGGGGTCGGTCAAGTGTGCACAGATCCAGAACATGCACAGTGCAGGCTTGATCTTCTTTTGATGCGTCCGCGGAGTTAACAAGCCGAGAACGCATACAAACAGGGCCTGTGGGCGAGGATTGGAATGTACAAGTGAACCCCGAAATGAAGAAGCAGTCTAGCATGTAGCCTCTATCGAGTCTTGACTCAAGAAGTCTAGACGAGGGCGTCCGATAGACAATCGTATCGGAGATCGTGCCACACCGCGAGCGCTTTGAGAGCGGCGAGAGAGGAACGAGGGTTGCGGCAGCGCAGTGGCACGACCACGAAGAACGAGGATCTTTGTTCCGGTACGGATGTATGCAAGCAACAAGGCCACGATTGCTTGCACGCGTAACATTGGGTCTCGAGCACGCCGGATTCGGAGTTGACAGGGTACGAATATCCCTGCCGTGCACATCCCTGAGCATCATCTCAGGTCTAGGACGTCCGCGGCGTCCCGCACGGCCGCCGAGCGCGACCTTCTCCAAGCGCGTTTCGACAAACTTATGTTGGCACACCGTATGTGTAAGCTGCTAGCTCACATGCACTCGAACGACATGGCAAGCCAAAACGTATCAAATTTGATGAGGAACTCCCCAAGCTCGCGCAGCAGGGTGAGGCTCGCTTGCGCGTAAACAAGATCATAATCCGTTCGTAAAGACTCCAGCGCTTGCTGACAGAGGACCAGTCAGCCGAAATATCCATCTGTCATAGTCGTGCGCTGGACACGCACCTTCAACATCTCCGTATACGCGCACCACCGTACATGTACGGACATAACGGCAGTCCGTCTCTATAGCTGCGTAGTCCGAGGTCTTCGATTCATACATCGGGGTTGGCATACAGGCGCAGTGTGATTGACGATGATGATGACGGAATCAGCAAGCAACGGGCGGGTGCCGGTCTTCGGGTTCAGTCGGTACGTGGCCAGCCGGGCTTTCCGAACGAGAGCGTTGTAGCGTGAAATCCCAGAGACTTCAGTGCTTCAGCAAAGACACTAAGTGTGCGACGCCCAGTGGCGCAATCGTGCTGATGTTGTGTTATGAGTCCACTCCTCAAAAGGTAGGAATAAACACTTACTTACACGCGGCGACCAGAGCAGGTTTGGTAAAGACTGACCAGTCGCGCTCCGGTACCTGTCTTGACTGTTCGGAGATAGAGAACAGTACGGAGTCTTGATCGCTCAGATATACGATGAGCTATGACCGGTCCCGTCCTGAGTGTTATCCATTGGTCAAACCGGAATTGCGGTTCGATAAATGGCAGGCGGCCCGAGAGACGCTTCAACGTCGGAGCCGAAAGACGAGATTGCAAGCGAGTTCGCTTGGCGAGCACCGAACCAAAGCAAAGACAGCTAGACTCTCGTTCAGGGAAGGTTGAGCAGTGCTAGGCAAACTCTACTCACGTTAGACGTTTGACAGTGAAGTGTGTACATCCATAGGTCCGCGCGTCTCCGAGTTCATTCGTCCATGGACCTATCTTCTCCATCTGGACGGTCCAGCACGAACATGATGCATCTGTGTGAGCGGTCCTTCACAGACCTGAGTCTCAGTCAGCCTTGAGAACAGTAGCACAGGGACACGGAGAAGACGGACAAGTTGAAACGCACAGATAGATTGACTGTGTCCGAGTCCGAGGGAAGACTATAACTTCACCGCGGCACAGCGACGGAAAGAAGGCGATGGTTGGAAGCGACGCGATGCCAGGCCAGGGACTTAGGCAGGCCCGGTAAAGTAGATTAGATAGCCATGGCCAACGTTGGTGGGCTCGAGGCGAAAGTTGGTTGGGCGGTCGAAGGGCCAAAACTTTGATAGGGAAGTGGACGCGCGTGGGTCCACGTCGCGTATGCCATCCGGAGCCGCCGCACCCGCCCCTGCAGCGCAGATGCAGATGCAGATGGGGATGCCATCCACCCCAATCTGCAAGAGAACGATCACTGTCAGCGCTGAGATACACATGGAACCTGACGGATACGAGACACTCACCCCGTTGCCAACTGCCACGTAGCGCTCATCACCTCCACACGGATTATTCCAATCCGCGGCATACAGCTGTCGCTTCCGGCCCACCACACGTCTTCTCCAACGTGCTCGCACGTCGTACAGTACGACTGGACGACTCAGCGCACGCCGCACACGTACTCGGGTGGACTCGGCCCCAGTTGATCTGCGTTATAGCACCGATGTGTCTTGATGGAAGATGCGAACAAGGAACGCCCTCAGCGCAGCGTCGGCGAAGTTCGATTCGGCCGTCAAACCTTGACATCAAGCTGTTGAACGTAGAACGCGATTCGTGAGCGAAGCGTCGAGCAACAACTGCCGGGCAGGCACGCATAGACATCGCCTGCGAAACCGCGGCAGAATGGTCCACCTCCAAAGCTTGAGATACCACGTACGTGGATGCGAGAGAGGCTCAGACAAGCGCAACCTGCCACCGCGCGAAGAAGAGAGAAGAGTCAGGTAGAGTTCGTCCTCGATCTAAAGAGACCACGCACACCTTCAACAGGGACACCGGAAGCCCTCTTCAGCCGTCGCCTTCGCCTCTTGATTCTTGAACAGGACTAACGTTCAAACCTTGAATCGAAAGCGCGGCGAAGTTAAAGTGCCCCGCTCAGTTCTTATCCTTATCCTCCCCTCGTGTTCGGTGTTCGCTCACAGGACGATGTACATGAAGCCTGAAGTGTAAGCGAGGAAGCTTGGAGGTGCGCGGACGCGCGAATGTCGGTGGCTCAGGCGTGAAGCGCTGCACGTATATGCGAGATAAGCAGGACTTGTACAACACAACCCCAGATCTTCGTCGCGTATCCGTAAATCCGAAGGCGCAAGGCCGAAGACTGTGCCGGCAAGCCTATTAGATAGCGCTCAGGTATATCCACGCAAGCACAACAGCAGTACGCGGCATGATCCGCGGAGTGCAACAGCGTACAGCGTACAGCGTTCCCGGATCGAGAGGGCGCAGGGCGCAACCCTCTCCCGGCGCAAGATAATCTCGCAACCGGTGCATCCACACACGATCCATCGATGCATCCCACACAGCCTGCTGCTTGAGTCTTCAGATCGCAGAAGTAGAAGCAGAAGTACGGCCCGCACAGGGTCCCAAGTACACCAGAAGTGCGCAATGGCGGGATGTACGGTTCCGCGTCTACACCGCGCCGTGGCGGTCGCGTTCCAAGCGCACAGCCAGCGCGTCGAACGCGCCCTCCTGACCTCCAACGTAAAAACGCGTCGACGCGTCGGTCTGGGCGCGTTCTCGATGCCCGACGCCACAACCCCCGAAGATGCGCACAGCAGTGCATTCGCGAGTTGTAAGTCAGGCTATTTGCCGATACGGAGAGGCGGGGTGAAAGAAGAGAATCATATTCCGAAGCGCACGAAATGGCGGCCTGCTTCAGTCCGATTCAGAACGGCGAAGAGGGAGAAGTAAAGTCCAAGCGCGGTATGTAACTTTGTAAGGATGTAAGCGGTTGTTACGAATCGTCGCGGGCTCGCGCGGACAGCTTGGGACGAAGTTGGGCGACTCGGAGTGCGAGGATCATCTGTAGATACGACTCGGATTATGCGTTTGCATGTAGGTGGAGGGTCATCACGAACGGAGTCCAGTTGCAGTAGGATGCAACCGAAGGAGCATGTAAAGACGACTGGAACGAGAGCAGGGTGGCGGGGAACATACGTAGTAACGCATTTCGGGGCACAGAGCGTAGAGGGTTCAAAGCAATAGGGTTGGCCATGGCATGCGCGGTCAAAGTAGGCAAAAGGGCAATCATATACGATACGGGCCGGCGAGCAGCTTCGAACGTATGCAGACTCCTCTCATCCGAAGTTGAGGAGTCAGCTCCGAGTCGCTTCTCAGAAGCGAGCAGGCTGGGGAAGAACGGGGAAGAACGTCTCCCGCTTCGTTGTCGGCTGTCGGCCGTGTATGAACAGTCGGGATGTAACCCACGGCAGCTCGTCGGAATCCCGCTCGAGGATAATGCATCCAGGGCAACTCGCCTGTTCGCTTCGGCGAAATAATCGCGAGGAAGAATCAACACGTCAAGCTTACAAGCCGCAAGCTAGGGCCATCGATGACCTGACGACGAAGAAAACAGCGCGCTGTGGCGAGTGAGGCAAGAGACGTGCGGCAACCTCGGAACACCGTACACGCGCGCGGTGCCGCACGCTGGCATTATCCTGACCATGCGGCGCGGCGGCTGATGCATGATGAGCACAGGGCACACAGGGAACAAACAGGGAAGGCAGGCGCAACCCACATCTGAGCGCGCAGGGCCGGAAACGCGCACACGAGCAACAAGCGCTCGGTCGCAATCCGCGTGTGCACGCCGACTCGTCAGCGCTCGATGGGAACGCGCGCGGGCTGTGGCTGTATGCTCCGTGGGCGCGTGTGCCCGTCATGCGTAGGAAACCCGTCATGGGCTGTAGTGCTTCGTGCAGGTCAGGTGTAGCCAGCGGGCGCTCGATGGGAAGACGGGCAGCGCATCGGCGGGTGCGTCATAGGGTACATCACCCGCGCACACCTCGCCCGCGTATTTGCGGCGCGGACGAAGTTGACGAATATGAAAATGAAGGATGTCGATGCGCGCAGGGCCGAGGTCGAGGCGCGAGTGCTGCGGGCGGGCGGGCGGTGCCGACGAACAGCCGACAAGACCGGCAGACAGGCAGCAGAAAGAGCACGCAGAGTCAGACGAAGACATTGTGTATATTGTGTGTTCATTCCAGTGTCCGGTATAGTAGTACAACCCGTCCTATCGAGGGTACGACACGGCGATTTTTATCTATGTACGTTGAACAAGCGCATGAAGGGGGCCGGGAGTTCCGTGTGAAAGCATGAAGGGCGAATAGAGGAATACGTGAGCAGAGGGGAGAAGAGAGCATGAGTAGGGACTAGAAATAGGAAAGAAGAGGGTAGTGTATGTATGGGTGATAGAAGGTATGAGGATGATGATGAGAGGCGAATGTTTATAGCGGACAATGCGGAATGCGGAGGATGGTACAGTGATGATGCAGTGAGGATGAGGATATAAACAGCGACGGCGACCAGCAACGACGACGGAGGGTAACAATGTACAGCAAGGACAGCGAGGAGAAAAGGTGCGACAACGCAGACGACCGGGGACTACGCCCAGAGTCTCCACCACCTCTTCCCATCGGCATCGACCTCGCCCTCCTCCTCAGGTACACCGAGACCCTCAACCGCCGCAAAACTGACATACCCATCCTGCATCCTCAGCTTCCTGCTCGCGCCGTGCACATCGAACGTCTTCTTCTGCTGGCTGTCAAACGACCCGGGCAGCGGCGGCGTAGCCGGCGTCGAGCTCTCGCTGCTCGACGTCGAGTCCAGCGAGCTAGAGTGGAACGGCGCCGGCGGTCGGTCGTACGATAAGGGCACGATCGGCCTGCGAGGCGAGGCGGGGAGTGTGTTGTGCATGCTTGCTGCCCGAGGCGATGAGGGCGGGTGTTGGGAGCTGATAGCGTGCAGATGCGCGAGAGCACCGGAGGCGACGCGTTGATGCGGACCAGGGCTCTGCGGAACCGTCGACCGTCTCGATGACGGACGACGACCGATGGGCGCCACAAGGGTAGGCCCGAGGTCAAGCGGGGCAGGTCGGTTCATAGGCGAGGACTGGTAAACGAGGTATCAGCCAGGAGTCCCGTGACACAAGTACACAAAGCATACCTCGACCCAAGCTCTTGTACGCTCGATAGGATCCGCAGGGCCAACGCTCGCGCTGCGCACGCTAGCCGCGTCGTTCGCGCTCCTGCTCGCGCGCCTCAGCCGCGGCTTCTCAAGCATCTTCCTGGTCTGGCTGTTCCTCCTGAACAGGACACCAGGTTCGCTGGGGCCGGCCTCGTCGTCCGAGTCGTCGTCCGACGCACAGCAGTCCGCGAGGAACTCAGCCGCGTGCGACTTGGACGTCACGCCCGAGTGGATGACCTGCGAGGTCGCCGCGCGGCGGAGGGGCGAGCGCTGGGCCTCGTCGCGGGCGAGGGCCTCGCGGAGGAGGCGCTCGCTGCGGGACGCGGGGCGCTCGATTTCTGCGCCCATGCCGGCCTGTGTGGCGGCGGATGGGCGGCGGGAGTGGCTGAGCGAGGGGCGGGCGGTGGAGGGTGAGGAGGACATGGCGGTGCTTGGGCGCACGGCGGTGGGTGTGAGCGGGAGGCGGAGGCTGGGTGCGCGGCGGTGGGCGTTGAGGCTCGGTTTCTGTTTCCTGCCCGTAGAGCTCGACGAGGAGCCGAAGGACGAATGGGAGGGCGTGGGGAGGGCGGTGAGCTTGTGTTCGCGGGTGGGTGTGATGGTGAATAAAGTCTGGGAGGCGGGCGCGGTGTAGGGCGAGTGGGCGGGGGAGGGGTCAGGCGTGGGTAGGGAGGATTTATATGGCGTTAGGATTGGGCGCGGGCGCGGCCGTGCAGGAGGCGCGTGCGGGGGCGTGTAAGGAGGCATCGAAATGAGGCCCGTGCGTGGGGTCTGATTCTAGAGTCTCGTCCGCCGGACTATTCTGCTTTGACGTCGTGGCCTCGGACCCTGATCTTCGAGAGCTTCTTATCGAAAGAAGCGGCAGTTTACAGACAGTACAAGGTGTACAAGGGAGATGGTGGTCGTTGGGAGGCAAGCTCTGTCTCGCAGGTGGCGAGTCCAATTTACAGCCTCTGCGGTAACAACGGGCGCGCGCCATCGTCTCACGCCGGTCTGGACCCCTTGTCTCTCTCTCACTCCTCCATTTCAATGGCGCCACATCCCTCCCTCTCTTCTCTCCCTCTCATCTTATCAGCCTTCTCTCAACCTTCACTTCATACCCTCTCCAACCCGACTACCAAGTAAGAAACACAACCAGAAAATCATTATTTTTACTCTCCGGTCGCCACACGCGAACACCGCGCCGTCCTCTCGGATTCAGACTCGCACGACCATATGCAGCCGTTTCAAGGCACCGGCAATCCCCCGATCCCAGAGCCCAGACCGCCGCTCGTCTCCCGTGCCCATCAAGTCCGCAACCCCAGTCCGGCGTCCCATCCCCGGCCCATCGACAAGGTCCTTGTCTAGACTGCCTTATGCGGAAATCTCGCACGATTTGTTCAATTCGCATTCTATTCTACCAGGAGACTGGACGCTGGATCATGTCGGTGACAGGCTGGCAGCTGCGAGCCTGGCGGCGTACGGCGCGTCTGCTGCCGCCGGTAAGACAATGACGAAACCGCTGACCGCCCGAATCGCACACCTCAACCCAGCGCGCATCCCTGCAACAATTTCCCGCCCCACCCATCCTCATACGACCTTTTCCTATCACGCGTCGGCCTCTGTTGCGAGCTTCCCCCTTGTAACCCAGCTGCCCGTGGAGCGTCAACGGGCCCAGCTCAAATAACCTCAGCCTTTTGGCCTCGTTGTTCTCGTTGTGCGCGGGTGCCTGCTCGTCGTTTTCGTTGGGCGATAGCGAGCAACGAACCGCCGTGGGGCGCATGTTCGATGGTTTATCGTCTGACACGCCAGCGGTCCTCTTTTCCGCGTTTCGTTGGCCGGGTGGCGAGGTGGCGCGGCGCTGTCGCCTCCGTGGAGCCAACCGCTCTCTTCGCGCTTCCGAGCGCCCGAACAGTTCGGGGTGGCGCAACCGCCCAAGCTGGACGCTTCCGAAGTGGCTCTCCTCCTTCCCGAAGCTTTGGAAGAGTCCAAGAGACCCGAAGTGGCGAGTTAGTTGGTGGGTTTGGCGTGGGGGCTCGATGACCCTTGTGTGCGATGGCTACCTCGTTTGGAGCTGAGGTGTTTACGCTGCTTGCTGGAGAGCAAAGCGGCACCCGCACGAGGGATGGGGAGAAATGGGGGTGTGCGGGCTTTCTGCCACCCGCCCCTTCACCTCGCCTCCTGAGCAACCCCTTTCCAGAGCCCTTCCGTCGTCGGTCTCTTGACCTACCCTGCAGCTCTACCTATGCGAGCCTGAGATGTGGAGAGGTTGACAAACGCGATGTTGGAGCGGAGCCGTCATGTGCGCCGTTGCGGTGATTTCGCCTGTGGTGGTTCGAGTTCGGGGTGGTGCACACGGGTACTCTTCCTTACCCTATGCGTCCTCCAGCTGGCTATGCCAGCTGCAGAGGTTGATGATGTATCTCTCTGAGCGAAGTGCGCTTGCCGTGCTCAACTTCAAATCTGAAGATAACATGTACACTCTCAGCGTCAGCGCGCCACGCCTTTGTCCGCTCATATCTCAAACCACGAGTGCACCCGCACCCGCAGTCTGCAACCTTTCGTTCGTCTTGCGCCCTCTTACGCCCAGATATCGCTCATTGGTGAGGGGCCGTACCCTCTGCGTCAGTGCACCACCTCCGCGGTTTATTTCCGGACAGCGGTTGTCATGCAGCGCGCGGCACCGGGCATGATATCAACCACTCCGACCTCCGACCTCCGAGCCTGAGTTGATGCGCCACCCTGGGCGCTCGGCGATGGGCGCGTCTATCTCGGAGGGTCGGGTACGATTCGGGATGAAGCTCGGAGGGCGGGACGGTACGGTACCGAGCCCGCGCGGTTTGGAGGAGACAGTGGTATGTACGTGTATGCGCTTCAGTGTTTACAGTGGTGACTTACGCGGCATACCGCGACGGGCATACGATTCCATACGCTAGTACTACAAGCTCAGCCTCCCTTCAAGTCATCTTTCGATCACAAGCGCCACTCGTACTTCAGCTCAGGGCGTAGTATGTTCATACTTCCCCTACCGCTCCGCAATCCGAAGGAAACTTACTTCTCCTTTGTATCTTAGGACCAACGGAGATGAAATCCCTTTGACTACAGCCCGAGCGCCGTCTTACACGAGAATCGACCTCCTATTCATCTCAGCTCGAGCGCTCCGCAGATTTGCCTCATCCAACGTCACTCGTATGGAAGCCGATAGGCGTGGCAGAGGCGTTGCGGAAGGAGGTACGGGATTCGTGGCCGGATGCGGGTACTAGCACGGCAAGACTTCACGACTCGCCGGCTATATGCGCGTTGGTGGACGTATCTCGGACTCGGAGCCGTGTCATAGGAAGGTGAGCATGCTCGCACTCGTGTGTGTATGCATTGCCTCATAGGTCTTCTACAGCATGCAGCATCCGAGCATCGTTCCGAGGCAAGCCGCGAAGGTGATCTGCATGCCGACGCGTGTAGAGCAGTGCCACACATCGCCACACATCGCCACAACCACGCTTCGTCTTCCCGGCCCTCCTCTACCCCTTCAACTCTCTCCTTCCGCGACCCGTGGACATGGACCAAGCTCAGAGCGAGTCTCCGTGTCTGCGTACTGGCCGCAGACGCTGGCCCTCGCCGCCGAAACCCGCCGCTCGGCACACCGAGCCGTTTCTCACGCTCATAGTCTTCATATCGTTCATGTGTTCACGTCGATCCTCGACTGGGTACATCAGTGCAGGTCTGCGCGGGGTGCCTTGAGTATGCACGGGGTGATACGTTCAAGCTGGAGGTCGAACGATATGGCCGCCATCGTGCCACCGACTCGCGACTCGGTTTTACCGCCACCATCTCCTCGCCTCCGGCAGATGTATCATCACAGCACATTCCGACGAGCCTCTGCACAACACACTTCATACCTCTCGAACAAGCACGACGCATACAGGCCGCCTTCCCAAAAGCCAAGGCGCACCGCTATCTCATATGTGGGCGCGTGGGCGCAACGCGGCTCGACATTCGCTCTCCGACGTCCCGCGCAATCTCGGGAAAGTCTAACGTCTATCTTGCTTTGTTCTCCGACAGCACTCATCGAGGTTTGGTACTCCGATCCTGATATTCAAGCTATAGGCTATATGCGCGCTCGATCTTGAGCTGTGGGCTTAGACTACTTACCACGCACCCTCGTCACCAGGACGCGCTGTCGCAACGACGCAGGCGGGTGTGCGGCCGCCATTCCCGGCGCAGCCCGATACCCTGTGCTCATACCGCAAGATATCCTGCACTCGGTTGATTACAATACTACGCAGAGTAGTGCATATATGCCCATCCGGCGCCCGGGTACACTTGTCGCGCGGCATACACGCGTAGACGATGATCGGATGCCTCGCGTTGTGGCACAGGAATCCGGCGCATGGCCACCGCGACCTACACACCGCAGGTCATGGACTCTCTACGGCGTAGAACACAACCCGTGGACTTCGCTACGCTGTCATCGGCACGGACCCGTGCTTGGCTAGAAGGCCGTTTCGCCGGCCGTCAAAACCTGGGGAAGCGACGTGGTCACTGGTCACCCGATCGCAGGGCGTCTTTTTGAGGACATACGTACGGGTGCGTCAGGATGATCGGTAGTCCTGCGTAAGGCTTGGCGGGCGGCGAGGTCATACGTGGTTCTGCTGTGAATCGGAGATCGCGTGCGCAATGTGCGCATGTAGACGCCAGGTCGTCGCTGGGCTGTCTCGCAACTTCATCTGGTACGTTTTCAGACTAAGAGCAGCTCGGGGGCATACTTTGACTGACAGGCCTTTCAGGTGTTCACCAGAATGTTTGGTGCTCGGCCCAGACGGCTCTTCGGAGGACAGACCGCACACGACTTCCGGCCGCCAGCAAGTTTCTCATCTCACCTTCCTGCCACGATCTCTTTCTGTCACGCTCTCTTGGCTCGCGTAATCTCATGCGACAAACAACGCTGCTATACCATGAAGCCTCTAGCGCAAGTTCTCGACGCCGGCCAGACCCTGTGCAAAGCCTCGACGTTTGCTTCACCGACGCGCGATGGAAGGACCCTTCATGATCATGAAGTCTTTCAAGCGCTTCACTTGAACCGAAGAGACAAGGGGCCAAGGACTAGCGTGTATCTCTTACCATAACGCTACAACCAACCCGAGGGCCTTATTCGTCATGAGATGACCTCTACCATAGGCTGTGAATGGTTGTTCGAAGCCGGTCTACGGTCGAGAGCCAAAGCCACTTGCCTCTCCGCGCGCGCAACACCTTCCATACGGCTTTGCCACCACACGCGATTGGCCACCTCACACAATACAAATGGCCGTATCCGGTCACCAGGCCTCAAAGGGTGCCTTCACTCTGTCTCTTTCGGAGTAAGCGTGCGTTCACGCCCCTTGACCTCACTTGAGAACAACTTCTATCTCGGGCAAGTGCTGGAGGGCTATGTGCTTGTGGCGCCGGAATGACCTCACTCCGTATATGGGTTTACGTCGGCTTGAGAGGTCGAGAACGTGGTCAGCTGGTCGTACGAGGACGAGGATGGCGGACGGGGATATTTGGGTCGTCTCTCGCGTGCTGCGCTTTGTGGGCGTGTGACGGCGTGGCATGGCGCGGGTCGCGTCGCTGGCACTGATCGTTTTTGCCCCCTACCATCACGACGTCTATGGATTGAATGAACATCTTGCGATAGAACTATCCGAGACCGCCACACAGGGCGTAGTTCAAACGCAGATGAAGTCGGAGCGATTATCTGGATCATCGATAGACGCGCGCTCACAGCCGCCGAGCGGTGTACAGGAACCTGGCAACATTACGTGCACGTCGTCTAGTCTACGGACTTCGGACTTGTGGCGGCATGACGCCGGCTGTGCGAACAACGTATGATCGACTTCACCGCCGGGAGAATCCTTCATATCGATACATTATCTTGACGGCCGGAGGTTCAAGTTGTACGATCGAAGTCGATACCTGGACTTGACACATAGCAACACAGTTCGCAACACACCTGACCGCGACTGGCGGACGGAAGTCGGAACGCAGCTCAATTGAAGGCGGGTGTGTTTCCTACGTCACCGAAAAGGCATATGTGCTCATCTGATCTCAGGTTCACTTCTTGACTTCTTGCGGGGAAGAAGTGACGCACGCGGCTTGCCGAACACTGCACACGACCTGATCTTCCCGCCGCGTGTACTGTAGGCGCGGAGTCGAAGACCGCGAGCTAGGACTCCAGTGCGCTCAGCTCCCTACCAGCCCCACAGCATCTCTACGCCTCATAAAGGACGACGTGCACCGTCGCCGTGGAGACTGTTCTCGTTGCCGTCGCTCTCTAAGCGTTGCGCACAAGTTTCCGTTACAACGCGCAGACAACGATCAGCCACGTCCGCCGTTTTGTCTACGGGTCCCCGTGCGGTATTTGCCATGACGCTACCGCTGGACCATGGACCTCTCGCAGTCTAAATCTCGACTCGCGATCGCACATACAACGACGTATGCCCACGCTGCCAACTCATCACCTCATCGTGGTCCCACCGGCACTCTCATCCATACGCGTTTCACGCTACACATGACTTGCCCGAGGATGATCAGCAGGCTGCAGCGCGTCTCTTCTCGATGCCAGATGCACACCCACGTCACTGGACTGAATACACCGCGCTCTCTTTGCGGTAAAGAGACGGCGTTCCGGACGGCACGATCGCCCTTTGGGCTTCGCGGCTGCGGGTGACTTCATTCGCGCTCCATCGTCCTCCGGAAGAAGGGCCGGTGGTCACGCTTTCACTGGCATCTTCACGCTGGAACGACGGTCTCGACCAAGGCGAGCATGTGGACAGAAACGAGGAGACCACTCAACGACTTCCTCTGCCGTTTGGAAGAGTTGTCTGTTGTGTGATGCCTATTCATCACCTCGCGAAGATCAACGTGTACGGGGAGGCCGTCGACGTTACCTTCTGACTATGACCTTGTACGCAATCAACACATGTGGCCATTTGTACTACTACTGACATCAGGCCGAAAGACGACCCTCCCATAGCGCCACCTCGATCTGAGCAGAGGTATGCACAAACAAGACAACGCTTGTCGAACGGCACTGCCGTCATCTCACAAGCCTCTACCCTCAGGATACGGAGGTTCGAGGCATCGCGAAGTGCAGGGTCGCGACTTGTAGGCTGATGAAGCTGGAGGTGTTGTTAACGGGTCTAGCTGTGCTCTTGCGACAGCGTATGGACGTTTGTTCGTATACATCATGAGTTACTATATGTCTTACTTACTGGGGCCCCGACTTGGTCATGTACCACATCGCGACCTTGTATTCTCCGATCACCTGTAGTGTCACCTGCGTCTCTCCAAGCATCCAGCTCACTGAGCTATTCCGATTTGCCCCGTAAAGCTGGCCTCTACGTGAGCGCTTCAAGCGAGAAGATATCATGCAGGCGGAGTCACCTGCACGACGAGGATCCTTCTGCAGGTGGCCAAATGACACATAGCGACGGCATCGTGAGACAGACTCGATGACTGTACTGCGTTTGATTTTAAACTATCGAAGCTAAAGGAATATGTTATATTTTGTGCAATATGGTGATGGCGGGCAGAACGCCGCGACGCGTGGCACAAAGCGCGCGCGCGCGGAGCACCACTTGCTTTCAACCATCATCTTCGGTCAATGCGGATACTTTCTGCCAGTACCACACGCCATAGCTCTTTCTAAGCATGATGGCTAGACAATGTCATGATACTACACAAGGAGACGCAAAATCCGTACAGAACTTCCATGCAACTTCTTCCTCACAAACGGGCTTCCGAATCCGTTGCAAGCCCTTCTCTTCAGTCTTTGCAGCAATCGCACCTGCGGAAGACTCAGTATACGGGACAGTAGATCACTGGTGTGTGCGCTTACGGGAGGTTGAGCCATCCCCAGTCTTGTCCTCTGAAGGCGATGTCCGTCAAAAGAAAGCCGAAGGATTGAGACTCCCGTTCGTAGTCTGGCATGGCGGACTTGTAGATCCTCTCCCAGATCGGAATAGTTGCGGGCGCGCGGAAGCGTGCTTGGTCTTGGTAGAACTCAGCGATGCTGTAGTTCCAGAAATATGGGTACCAGCCGGCCAACTCCCAGTCTATGATGCCGGTAATGGCGTAAGTCTCGGGGTCAACGAGGATGTTCTCCGGGCGGAGGTCGCCGTGCGAGAAGACCGACGGACGGGACATGTCGATGGACGCGAGCATGGTGATGCAACGTTGGGCTTCCTGGCGTGCTTTAAGATTAGGGTGCTGAAGGAAGCTCTCCAACTTCTCCATTCCTGTCGCTGCGATTGTAAAGTCGAGAAGGTCTTGCATTGAAGAAGGTCGACATATCTTGGGGTCATCTGAGCTCAGACGGAACTTGAACTCTCCTCCGTGCAGCGCGCCATTCTTCCCGACGTGTCCCCAGCGCCCAGGGTCATCCAGGGAGCGGAGCTCAGACAGTACGTGACGAATGCCCTGTGCAACAATGTCTTCCGCGGCCTTGTCCATGCCTTCGAGTGCACGATCGAGGCGTATGCCAGGCAGCTTCTTCATGACCAGATACCCGCATCTCGGCCTTTCCGTAGCGTCGTCGCCTTCATCACTGATATACGCTAGCAAACCCGGAACGGGCAAGTTCGTACGCGTCCTCACGAGCTCCATGGCGAGGGCTTCGGTCTTCAGAATACGACTACCGTACTTCACAAAGAGATCGTTGCCAACATCCGTAACCTGCCCGTAGTCGTTGGGCTCGTATAAGGCGTGACCGTCTTTGATCAGGTCCTTGATTTGAGTCAGAGTGAACTCGCGCGGAAGATCTTTCACGGTTAACATCGCTACGATGCGCATGTCAATCCTGCGATATCCAATGAAGAGTTGGCGTTCACCTCCGGACAACAAAGGGTTGATGTACTGGTATTATTGCAAGGGGGATGAGTGAGTAGCGGAGATAGAAGTGGTCCTTAGGTGCATTGGATGACGACCGTTCCTTTAAGGGGCGTTGCAAACAAAGGAAGCCCGGGTGTGGTTAACGTTGTGCACGACCTCGATCAGCCGCAAACCACCACATGCGCGGCTATCTCCGCCTGGTGGTTTATTCTTTCGATGACACGCTAGGGCTCTGTACGTCACACGGTAGATGGCATTGGGTTTATACATGTAGTATTCACAGACAAGATACAGATAGCAGAGTTACGAACAAGGTTGTCACACCATTCGTAGCCGATGCTCGCAATGTCAGCCGAACCTTTTTAGTTCGCCTAGACATTCCTCAACGTGACGACGAAGCTCGGCTTGTGAAGAGAAACGGTGTCTTGTATCGGGATGACGAGCGGTCCTCACAACGTCCGGTGCCTCGATCATCCGGAGTAGGGTATCCCAGACGTAGGTGGTACAATCGATATGCCCCCATTGCTGCTCGAACCCGACCTTTATGGTGTACTGGAGGAGCATTTCTCGGATGCAGCGCTGCCGTGTGGCCCTGTCGAGCAGCAAGACGGGTTTGATGCGCTGGTCGGTGTATGTGACAGGTGAGCGTGGACCGACGCTGGCACCATCCCTGCCGCGCTCGCGGACGATCCAGTGGCCTTCATGAGGCTTTGGGGCCTGTATCATATCGAATACGTGTTGTCCGCAAGCCTCCCCGGTCCTCCTGTCAAAGGCGGGGAAGCCCATAAACCAATGGACTGCGCGGCCACGGTGCGTAGATCCGATGAAGAGAGCGAGCCGTTCTGGCTCAGAAGCGGAAGACTGGCTCTGGGCGAGGTAGTTTCGAACTTCGCTCGAGTGATCAGGCGCTAGTGGGATGGTGTATGATCGAGTCTCTCCGTACAACAACGTGAACGGGGAAACCCAGTTATCGCGGAAGGACATATTGTCGCGCTGTAGGTCGAGCAGGTCAGTCATCCGTTATGATCCCCTGATATGGGTAGACGCACCGCTTCGAAGTCTGCGAGAACTGGCGTTCAAATCTTCGCGGCTTCTGGGATTTATATCACTCTTCTGCGCTTCTCTCGCCACACTCAGCGCAAACCACATCATAACCACCTTCCTGCAGACGACAAGGAAGTAGGTCGCCGCGATGAGGTTGTGCATGCAACCAGAGAGCACAATGGGAAAGAAGCCTGATACCCAAATCGGATTGCGCAAAATTCGCCGTGATTCACACGGAGATGAACCACGCAATTTCATCGGGAGGTACAGTGGTTTGATACCACAGAAGTATCCTAAGACACCAAACACCTGTGAGCTCATAGTATCCGCGCGTCTTCTCAACCACAAACTGGGTCAGGATGAGACCAATGCGCTGTATCGGCGTTGGCGAGTGGCGAGTTTACCCGGCAGGCTTCATATTGATATGGCTACCAGGTAGCACGTATGGGGCTGCTAGTCCAATGTCACTAGGCGTGCTAGTTCCAACATGCGAGGTTCGCAAGAGCCAATGCGCACGAGCATGAAGAAGTCTTGAGAAGTGCGCGATTTGATGCTGAGTGGGTTAGCCACTAGGATATCTGAGACGAGTAGGCAAAGGTTTCCCTCATGAGGTTCGACGAGTGACGCAACCCGCCGGACAAAGCTGCATGTTCATGCAGGTTGGCAAGCAGCAAGGAAGGAGTGCATCAACGGCGCAGCGCCGGCGGAAGATGCCGCGGCTTTCCAGGGGCACTCGGGCGGCGGGCGACTCACATCGGGCTTGGCTCCTTCCACCTTGTTCTACCTACCGCCTGTGTGTAACAATGGCTACAGTATCACCGTTCGCGCGCTCTAGCGCATTTGAAGAGTCTCGTGTTGGTGGTCGCGAGCAGACTGTGCGTCGAGCCTACCTCAAAACGGCTCACGATGTTGATATTGGCGCAGATCGAAGAGATGTACAGTGTTCCGGAGAGCTTCCTCGAGATTGAGGTTCGGAATCCACAGACTCATGGTACGGCGTCACTCCGAATTGGCGAATCTGGTACTGACCTCAGCACAGGCTTCGGGAGGAAGATGTTCACCGACTATGAGATCGTTTGCAAGGTACGGCTGGTTTCGAACCGCGATAACGGCTTGAACTGACCGAAGTTACCTGTAGACGAATATCCCCGCCTTCAAACTTCGTCACTCACTTGTACGAAGGCGATACTCTGACTTCGAGGCCTTCCGAGACATACTTGAGCGCGAGAGTACTCGCGTGAACATCCCTCCATTGCCGGGCAAGGTGTTCACCAACCGCTTCTCGGACGAGGTCATTGAGTCGCGGCGGGAAGGTCTCGAGCGCTTCCTCTCGGTGGTTGCTGGACATCCCCTTCTCCAGGTGCGCCTACCCGGTGTTCGTCCGTGGCGATAGCTCATTCTGGCGCAGACAGGAAGCAAGGTTCTGTGCGCCTTCTTGCAGGACCCTGGCTGGGATAAGTCGCAGTGGCTCTAAGCAGTCCCCGCAATCCTACATTTCGATACACGGATTCCGCACCTTCCACGATCCCGCCATGACCTACGACGTTCCATCTGCCATTCGTCTCCCTGCTCCCTTTCTTGATGTCTTAAGCTGTATATCCCGCCCGTTTCTACCCCGCTATGTTGCTTTACAAGTTCTGAATGCCTACCTCTTTCTCCTCCAGCGATGAGATGCTCGGTCTGCTTGCTAATTGCCGTTCCGCATAGCCTCGGCTTGACTTAGACGTCATCGGGATCATCGGGCCGGTCAACGCCGGCCCCGTCTACTTGAAGTAGACGCGGCCACTCCCCCTATAACTCGCCGGACAAGAAACGTAAGAACGCTACCGAGCTGTGGCACTGCGAGTCCTGCGTCGTATCATATCAACGACCGGTCCGCGAACACCCACATGATGCTTCAACGGCCTCATCACGCCTACTCCTGGATACTGCGAGCGTGCGGCTTCTATGATGTGCTCACGGAGTCTCAAAAATACCAACATCCGATGTTCAATTGCTCACGAAATATCCCGAAGCTCTGATAGAAAACCATCATCATACAACGCCGGAGCGATTTGGTTCTGCAGCGTACGCACCCGGTTAACATTTCGCTCGACGATTCCCTCCTCAACTTTAACAACACGTGTGTCTCAACCAGGGACGCCTTTTCGTCTTCCTCGCCACGACCCCCACCTGCACCTCATGGCCCCGCCACTGCGGACTCGCCCATCAAATCCCGGCGCCTTCCTCGCGCGCTTCCTCGTCATCCAACAGTCTGCTGACCCTGCGATCATATTAGCGGCGACGGCTCCGATGTCGACCTAGTGACCTCAGATCCCGCGTCCCCGTCATGAGACTGCAAACATCGTACCTCTTCAACCCGTTCGCATATATAGCGCGATGTTGAACATGTTTGAGCGCGCGGTCCCCTCGTTCATTTCCCCGAAACGATGTTCACGAAGACGCTGACCACTCTCGCTGCGACGGCGGCCGTCGCGAGCGCGACGCTCGTGAGCAATGACACCGACGTACGTTTATCCACTCCCTTGTGCTACCTGCGCGGCGTACTGAAACGGCACATACAGCCGCTCTTGCGGATCAACATCACGTCGCCGGATGAGTCTGCACACGCAACTTTCCTCCCCTTCGGTGCGACGATGAACTCGTTCTGGGTGAAGGACAAGTATGGCGAGTTCCGTGACATCCTCGTCGGTTTCGACAACCTCGTGCGTCATGGGTTGCTTTTTCGCGTTCACGGAGTCTAACAAGTTCGCGCAATGCTGCAGACGAACTACGAGTCAAGTCGCGCCTTCTTCGCCCCGGTTGTGGGCCGCTACGCGAACCGTATCCGCAACGGCACTTTCACCATCCCTATCTCGAAGGACGCCTCCGGTCCTGGAGAGAAGTACCAGGTCCCCGAGAACGAGCACAATGGTGCGTACCTCCCCCTTTCTTGTATGAACTGTGTGCTGAAAGGGCGTGCTTGTAGGCACGAACTCGCTGCATGGTGGTGACAACGGCTTCGATCGCCGTGACTGGAGCGTCGTTGACCAAGGCGCGAACTACGTTTCGTTCGCCCTGGTTGACCCTGCTGGTACGGAAGGCTTCCCTGGTACCGTCTTGACTACGGTACGATCTCTTCAAGTGCCTCCATCTAGCTTTCAATTCACTCGGTGTATAGGTTACCTACAGCCTGAACAACGACTCCGTCTTTGACGTGGCCATTTCCGCCTCCGCGACCGCATTGACCCCCATCCTCCTCTCCGCCCACCAATACTGGAACTTCGAGGCGTACAACGAGACCGAGGATCTTTCCGGCCACTACTTTGAGATCAAGTCCAGCAAGATCATCGAGACGGATGGGAACCTCATCCCGAATGGCAAGTTGAAGGACATCAAGGGCACGTTGGCGGACTTCAACAAGGCGAAGAGTATGGGTGCTGCTATCAACAAGACCACGGCTGGCGAGTACTGTGGTACTGGTAGGTCTATTCTGCTCGTGTGCACGTAGAAGAGGTGGCTGATGATGTTCAGATTGCATCGGGTTCGATAACGCTTGGATTTACGACAAGCAACATTCCAGCAGCACGCCCGTTCTCTCTATCTACAGCAAGAACTCTGGAATCAAGTACGTCCACCCCTTCCCGTCTCATACATTCCTGACGAACCTGACCTCTTATCTAGGCTGGATGTCACGACGAACCAACCCGCTCTCCAGATCTACACCTGCAACAGCATGGGCTCCGTCCCTCGCAAGGCTTCGCAGGGTGGCTCGGAGAACGGCACTGCCATCTACGAGAATCACTCGTGCTTCGTTCTCGAGCAGGAGAGCTACCTTGACGCGATCAACAATCCCGAGTTCGGCGTCGACCAAATCTATGGTCCCGACAGGCCGTACTTCTGGAGCGCGAGCTACGCGTTTTCTGTCCTTGACGACAAAAGCCACCATTAATGCACGACGTTTGAGTGACTGGATTTATGACGCGTGCTGTCTTTCTATGAATAATATATGTAATTGGGTACCAACTCAGAATACATCACAGGAGCTGCAGCTACTTGCTCGAAGCCATCAATGAAGTTGAAACCCGCGGTCTTGACAGGGTCTTTAAGAATCGACTACGAATACTAGTGCAACACGTCTGATAAATTTTCACAGCACGCGAGCGTTGGCTCGAGTACAGTATGTCAAAGTAGATGCACAGCACGGGAAAAAGGTGGACGAGTTGGGGATTGAACCCAAGACCTCATGCAGTCGAATCAGAGATGCGAAGCAAGCGCGCTACCACTGTGCCACACGCCCATATGGGGTATAAGCTACAGATAATATACATCGGTTTTTAATTTCTCTGTGACGCCGTTGCGCTCGAGCCCCGCGCCGTGACATGGCTTTCCTTCGACCACCATCCTCTATGCCACCGTTGTATACGTGAAATATTTTGGCACAACATTGCCGAGGTCATCGACTCTTCTTGCTACTTTTCGATCCTTTGGGGTTGTTGTGCTTCGAAGACCTTTTACAGCCGAACAAACATCATATACGTAAGTATACATCATTGTGGTCGCCGTCAGGCAACCTCATTCAATGTCATCCCGTTCGTCGCATAAAACAGTTCCGAGATGCACGATCTCCCATTCCATTGGAGCTAACTTCCCCCACGATGCTCACTTCTGCAGCACAAGACCTTCCGGAGCTCAAACGCGCTCGGGAATACATCAGAACCATGCATGAGGACTCCGTACTTTCTCGGGTCACTGGCTCCCCTTGGCTCGTCACCGAACTCATATTACGCATGGTCCACTCTATGTGGAGGGAGTCACCCTACTCCAACGGCTTCCGAACTCCCTTCGACCTATACGTGAAGGTTGCATACATGCACCGCGGCCAGTCTCCGGCGTCGAAGATGCTCCCTCAATTTCCTGGCGGAACCATTCCATTTTTTGCCTATAATGAAGGCAGGTTCCTCGAAGAAGACATCTTTCACACAGATGATGCCACGCTACCGGACACCTATCGGTTGCAGTCATGGGTCATTCTTGACATGGTCGTCTCGGAACACGATGATGTAGTCCCATGTTACGATCTCAGCAGCGATAAGGCTCGGAGAGCAGCGCTCGAGTTCAACCCCATTCCTGTCTGGTTCGTTCAAAAAGACATTTCAATTGGCAGTCCGGTATACATGCACATTCATAGCGAGGAGGTCGATAACCTACGTTGGACGGAGCTGAGGCACAATCGCATACCGCCTTGCGTGAAGATCGAGTTCTCTGTACGTTCTCAACGTGGCATCGAGAGATTGTCCCATCTGACTATTGAACATAGTGGCCGAACTACGCGCCCGTATCAGAGGTCTGGGACCTTCAAGCACCTATTTATCCTGCTCGCTGCGCAAACTCTCTGCAGAGACTTGCTTATGCAGTCGCCCGTTGCGTTCATTCATTCATGACGGTAAGTATACTCATTGGTCATGGTCCGACTCCATATAACACTTATATCTTTCGCTTCGCAGAGGGCCGCGAAGAAACCCCGACCTCAGCCATGTATGCAACCGAAATGGAGCATCGGATCTTCATGTCTCGGGGAGATAGCACCCCGGGACGTGACCTTGTTTGGTGTCATCTTTCAGTCGGATACGACTGTCATACCGCTTTTATGTGCTCCCATCCCCGAAATGTACCTCAGACAGAGTTGAGATCCATATGACAAAGCAGCATTTAAGTTAATCTCCGCTTACTTATCTGAAATGCGAGGCATCTGCGGGACATTCGCCTTCAAGAGGGGTGGAGAGGTACTATTGAGGTCGGGAAAGCTCGATCTCAAGGTTTAGAGACCAAACTGCATTAGGGGCGCCGCCCAAGTAGTCTATTGAACGTATGGACGAGAACAGCAATGCTGTCCGTATAGAAGATGGGCAGCAATGTACTGACACGTCCTGTCGGCGCATATTGCTGGTCTATACTATATAATAGTCCCCTCCCTATACAGGGCGTGTGGCACAGTGGTAGCGCGCTTGCTTCGCATCTTTGATTCGACTGCATGAGGTCTTGGGTTCAATCCCCAACTCGTCCACCTTTTTGCCCATGTAACCTACATTGAAGTCATTTGAACGGTGGACGTTGCTGGAGTTCGTCTCATAGTCATACCCAACCCGATGCACCGGCTTAGCGCTCAGCAGTCCGCTCGCAGGCGTTTGCCCGTGACAGATCAACTTTTGTGACAGAGCGTACATATATTCCGATAGCACTCTTCCCAAAGCCCAATTAGAAAGCATGGCACATTACAATACATGATAGCGGAGACGGATGGATAGCAGGATAACAAGGGGTAGTCGTTAAAGGCGTCGGTGAACGGTCGTAGAGAGCGTGCGATCTGGTCACGGTTCAGGCATTGGATGTGTGAACTTGATGCTCTCCGTGCGGGAGAACTTCCGCGTTGGGTGCATTTCGAGGTCATCGTCATCATGTGGCTGTACCTGAGACGACGAGGTTGGCGTCAGCAAGCATACCTGTCGCACAGGAAGCGTACTCGCCTTTCGCATATCATCGGGACTGTCAGACGTCTGCTCGACACCCGACGTTACGTGAACCACTGTCTGTTGCGCCGGTTGACCGATACCAGGTATGGAGAAAGCGCTTGTTGGCATTGTGATTGGGTCGTCCGTCGCGGTCCTGTTCCAGAGCCTAGTTCTGCGCGAATTCAGATTGACCATGAGGGTAACGCCGTACACTGTATGTATCGTGAGCATCAGATGACGCCTGTGCATGCTTCAAGAAGTACCTTTGCTTAATAAGAAGGAGAAAAATAGATGAACATTATTGTCTGGCATGGCCAAGAAAAGGATCATCTCTGTGACCGCGGTGATAACGCAGGCGAAACCCTACCAATCTCGTCAGAACTGTTTCGAGTAGAAGGTCTCAGTACTCACAGTTTCGACACTCAGGCGTATGAGCTTATTGATGAGCAGTTCGGTCTTTCCGGTAATATGCGCGTCATTTCGAGCGGTCGTAAGCTACAACTGAGGTGAGTTGACTCTCCAACGACATGCACCAGTGATGCATACGAGTTTGACCATGGAGCACATGATGAGCTGTACAGGAATTAATTCGCGCCATTAATATGCGATCCCGAGAGAACGCACCAAGTCCGCTATCGAGCCGCCACCGAGCCAAATCTGCAACCATACGTCAACGTCGGTCGAGCGTAAATGACGTTTGGACATACGATGGTGCGTCCGAACATGGTAGGGAGATGGAGTGATTCGACGGTCTTCATGATCCCGTACTAAAGCTACCTGAGACGCCTGACTAACGCAGGGAATGATGATAGTTCACACCTGTATCCCAATAGCCCACGCAGCGCAGGTCTGCGCTAATGCAAGCTACGTCTGCATAAGGCTCATGTAACCGCATGCAGGGACGACACACTCACAAAAATGATGGTGATGGGAATGATCTTCCACGCCCCGAAGCGGTGAATACGCCTACACGAGGGTCAGACGACCACGAATGCGCGCCACAGAGGTACTGACCAGGCGTAGAATACTTGCACCCACGCAGCCACTAGACATCGAGGGTCAGGTTTCCTCGTGAAGCGTGCAGGGCTTGATTGGCTCACCGAGACTCGATACTCCGGGAATGATGATCAATGGCCAACCGGGAAACTCCAAGTACTCTTGACGCCCCCAGCCTGAAACAGCAGAATGCCAACCTGTCGCAGCCACAGCGATACTCTGTACGAGGTCGGCCAAGAATACCCCATAAACTATGCGCGAAATCAGCACGTACAACGGTTAAAAGGAGAGCCGACCGAACCTGTACACACAAGCCACCAGTTCTCCTTAGAAAATGAGACATAATATATGTCTAGAACAGTAATCAGTATTGGGCAAAGATCAGACGGCGGTAGCCTTACACAACTGCACAATAGTGATACCGAAGACCAGGTATCCCATCAAGGCTCCCAGATACTGAACACGATCTGTTAGCACGTGTCACCGCCGGGCCCTGGCGTTCGAAGAACTGACAATTGGCCCTACTCTAGCAACCGCAGGGCCAAGTCAGCGACGCCCACACCCGAAGACATGATTGACACACATGAGTGTCATGTCCGGAACGACATCTGCAGTTACCGTCACATTTGACATAGCGGGTGCGAGCGGTGAAGCAAACACGGGAAGGGGAAGTGTAAACCTCTCAAGGGCAGCGCGACGGGCTTCATATAAAGCAGAATCACTACTCCGCGAAGTTGATCTCGGCGGTGGGGTGCCGTCATGATGGGCCCAGAGTTTATTCGAATGTGGCGCCGCTTCGTGGTCTGAAGGCGCTGTTGGTCTTCGACGTATATTGGCTGGCTGGCCGATGATAGCAGAAAGGGTGTCAACGAGGTCCCTCTTCAATGGATAGGTTGTGGTGCGACGCGCAAGTGCAACTTGTCGTGTCGCGCGCGGTATTGGCCAAGCATGCTGAAGCCGCCATTTTATCGGTCGGCGCAGATCTGGCGGCGTTGCAATTTAGGTGGACGTCTGTCGGTGATGGCCGAAGAAGTGCGCCCTTTACCTTCCTATTGATGTCGCTACCAACGATTCTGTACAGAAACCAGGGCAACTCCTCGTAGCCTAGCCTGGTTCGGGCTGGATGATGAGTCTCCTTGCGCCTGAGGACTGAGGGTCGGATCACCCGAGCTCTGGGTATGATAGGGTACGATGAACGGGAAGAATGCTTCAGCTTCAGCGTCCTTGAGATACGCAAGGACAGGATGTTCACATGTGAGCTAGCAACATCGTGGGGGATCGTGTCCAAGCAACGTCGTCGGAGCATGGAGGAAATCGTTTACGTGTAAGTATTATTTCGGACCGCCGAACCCCGGGCCCGGCGTCGCACACCGCCGACGCACGCCGCGTGTCGCCATAGAGTAGTTGCCTTGCGCGTCGACCGCGGATTACCACAACGCGCTCTCATCGGTTTACTTTTGCCAGAGGTTCCAGCATATCTTGTCCGCGGTCTGGACAACATACGAACTTGGGCTTTATCAATGCGCTGAATATGCAAGGACCACATCCGCGGAAATCCCATTTGCCTGCGCCTCCCACAGTCATCCACCATCAGATGCGTACTGCGAGCGAGGGTACCGCGTCATGCGGTCGTTGGTAGACAGGCAGGAAGGCTAGACTGCAGTCTCTGTATGGCAGTTCAACCGGCGCAGCCATTCCCTGCAGCTCCTCTAAGGTGCTTCTTCGTCCTTGTGCTTCGCCATCTGCCCTGAGCTAGGTCCCCGCTCAGTTTATTGGACCCACCACTGTACAAGCCAAGAGGGACACGATTCAGCAAGTAATCAGCCCAATATAATGGCATGAGGTATGGCGTCAGGTACAACTGCGTTAGGTCGTCAACTGACGGCAGACCCCAGTGCAAACGTGTGAGCGGTGGCTGCAGCGCGCAGCGGGCGTCCGGGGCAGCATCAAGTTGTGCACATCCGCGGCGTCCTGTCTTCTTGAAGATTGACCTCTTTCTCAGCGCCCTTCTGGGAGCTGTCGATCTGTGGCGCTTAGTCCGCGGTGCGAAAGTACTACCAGAAGCGAGCGAGTACAAGATTATTCGCACATTTCGAGGCATAGCAAGGATTTCGACTTATTCAGCGGCCTGTATCCTCATCGCCTTCCAAGCCTGAGGCACGCCGTCGGGCAGTTACCCCTTCATTAGCGCGTTTGACCGCATGTAGAAAAATGCGGGTTAATCGCTTTCCCTTAGTGGACAACGCATGATTTGGTTCGCCCGGCCGTTCGGCATGTTTGGATCGCTGACTTAAATACGACTGCAGCAAGTGTGGTCCATGGTCGTCTGCCTCTGCTTTCATCGCCGACCGCTAAGATGGCCGTGTTCTCTCGCATGTCTTCTCTCGCCGTGGCCCTCACTCTTGCGGCGTGCGCGTCCGCGGCCCTCCATCAGGAAGTCACGCAGGCCCTCCTGAACCGGCAATTTGACTATATCGTTGTTGGTGGTACGTAGATCTTCGCGAACGTCCTGAATGCAATCGGTTCTCACAAGGTTCTCACAGCGGGGGCGGCGGGCGCCGTGTTGGCGAGTCGCCTTTCGGAAGACCCGCGCAAGACCGTACTTCTGATCGAAGCTGGTTCCAGGTAACAGCTTTCCCTTATACATACCCACCTCTCAATGCTGCTATGGCTTAGGGAGGCGACGTGCTGACATATGCTGGCTGTAGTGACTACGAAAACATCAAGATCGAAGTGCCTCAGTACGGTTTCCAGCTCTCAAACACTGTATTTGTACGTGAAATGTGGCTCAGCGCCCAAGTGCTCTGGCCCTTCGTCTGACCTTTTTGCAGGATTGGAACTTTACAACAGTCCCCCAACCCGGTCTAAACGGTCGCGCTCTTGATTACCCTCGCGGCCATGTTCTTGGAGGTTCGACGTCCATAAGTAGGTATCGCACTCGACTACTTTGAGACCTCTTTCTAATTGGCGGCGTAGATCTCATGGACTACTGTCGTGGATCCAGAGACGACTACGATCGATGGGCGAACGTCACCGCAGATAATGGATGGACTTGGGACGCGTTATACAAGCACATGCTCAACGTACGGATGACCTTTTTAATCTGGATAAGTGTCTGTCTCATTGACCATGTAACATTCAGCTTGACGTAGTCACTCCCCCTGTCGATGGCCACAACTACAGCTACCAGTTCGACCCAGCCGTGCATGGGACAAGCGGTCCGCTGAAGATTAGCCTTCCTCAGTATCTTCTGCCAATCGACTCTATCGGTATCGACGCATCCGCGGAGCTGTCTACAGAGTTCCCATTCAATCAGGACTTTAACTCTGGCGATACCATAGGTATCTCGTGGGTGCAGTCTACTATCTACGAGGGCGCGCGTTTCAGCTCGGCTTCGGCCTTCATCGCACCTGCACTCAAACGCTCGAATCTCGAGGTTGTCGTGAATACGTTGGTTACGAAGCTCATTCCTACAAACACGACGACAAGTACGCCTGACATCCGCACTGTCGAGCTCCTGAATTCGAAGACCAGTGCGTATCTGCTTTCGCGGAAACCATACCAGTTCTGACTGGACCGCGCAGACCAGACTTTCGAGGTGACGGCCGAGACGGAGCTCATCCTGTCCGCGGGTGCCGTCAAGTCTCCGCATCTCCTCCTTCTTGCGGGAATTGGCGACGCGTCTTACCTGTCATCCGTCGGTGTCACTCCTCTCGTCGACCTTCCGGATGTCGGCCAGAACCTGCAGGATCACGTCTTTCTGCCTGTGTCCTGGTCTGTGGCATCGAATGACACGCTGGACAACGTTCGGTACAACTCCACCTACGCCGCTGAGCTCTTCGAACAATGGAACACCACCCGTACTGGCCCGCTCGCGGATGGCCCGGCCAACGTGTTCGGCTGGTTCCGTGTTGCCGACGACGCCAACCTCTTCTCGACCACGGCCGATCCAAGTGCTGGTCCGACGAGCGCGCACTTTGAGTTTATCCTATCGGTGAGCATCACTGTATCAATGTGCCGCTTGGACACCGCCTGATGTCTCTTTCAAGGACGAATTCGTGAGCAAAGTCCAGTCGTCCCCGACAGAAGGTCACTATTTCACCATCATCGTCAACCTGATCTCACCCGCATCTCGTACGTTTGACGTATCTGCCTCACATATCTGAACCTACTAACAACGTATACAGGCGGAAACATCACCCTTGCCTCACTCGACCCGCTCGACGCGCCGGTGATCAACCCGAACTTGCTAAGCGAGTCAGTTGACACCGAGATCTTGCGCGAGGGTATCAAGGCAGCGAGGCGCTTTGTCACTGCTCCATCATTCGCAAACTACATTGTTGCCGAGTACGGGGACTTCGCGGCTGCCCAGACTGACGAAGAGCTGGAAGCCTTTGCTCATGCGAACGGCGATACGGTTGATCACGTCGTTGCGACTGTCCCTATGGGCCGTGCAGGATGCATGGATGCCGGGTGCGGCGCGCTTAACCCCGATCTGACCGTCAAGGGCACGACGGGCTTGCGTGTCGTGGACGCATCGGCTTTCGTAAGTTCCCTCTGCATACATGCCAAGGTCTTACTAACGACGCCGTTCAACAGCCATACATCATCTCTGGTCATACACAGGCTGCTGTATACATCCTCGCTGAGCGCGCGGCAGACCTCATCATCTCCGCAAACCAATAACTGTTACGACCTCACGATCTCGCGCATGTTTTCTTTGGATTTAGGGTGTTATCGAGATGCTATCTCCGCTGTGAAATACGAGTCTTCCTCCCGTGTACTTCTACTCTGCGTTTTACTCGTTGAATACGTCGCACATTGTGATCCTTGGCCTTGGAGAGCCTGATTGACCAATCACTCAAGAATAGGTGAGCATTGCATCGCGTTATGCGCTGGGCTATAGTACAGGTATTGTTGGCTTCTAAGCTGTCGTGCGTTCCTCTACACATCTGGGCGTCGAACCGTTTCACTCGGGCTTGTTGATGTCCTGCTTCGCCTTTCCGCCTTCATGCCGGATGTTACCTACACACAGTCAGCAAGAGTCTGTATCCATGCGCCAGGGTTTAACGCACCGGAAGCTTGTTGCTGTTGGTCGCCCTTAACGGCGCCAGCAACGCTATCAACCTTGCCGCCGACACGATCGCCGACACCCTCGACGTAGCCCTTGGCCTGCGCCGCGTTGTACTCCGTCTCACCCGCGGCATGCTCCTCCTTGCCCGACTGCTGCCATGATTGTGCGCCGGTGAGGTTACCAATAGCCTCGACAGCGGTACCCTTGGTGGAGTGGTACTGGCCGCTGGACTTGCTGCTCGAACTCGTCAGCCATGAGCACGACTGAAAGGTGGCAGACGGCGTACTTGGGGTTCTCAGAAGTGTAAGACATAATGATTGAAGTTGATAGATGGGTAAGTGCGAAAAGGTTAAGTGATGTTTAGGATCTGGTGTTTTGCGAGCCCATCATGCGCGGTTATATACTGGCAGTCTGCCTGCCGCAGCCTAGGGTTTGACGTCAACCCCTAGCACGGCCTTGACGTCGTTACTCACGTCGCCTCCGGCCGAAGTCGCGTCGGAACCGTGAGTGCAGATGTGCATTGCTGCTTCATCTGTAGTGTATGCCATTAGCTCGTAGTAAGACTCGCAACTATAGCGTCAGAAAGGTGCGTCCTGAGTCTGGTAGCTTTGGACACGTCAGGTTAGCGAGGTCAGTATGGCGCCTTCGCTGCGACTGCGAGGATGTGCATCGACATTAGGGAGGGAGGTTCCTGAGAATGCGCCGTCTCAGGCCATATCCCCGCAAAGAGTTCACGAGCAGGGTATACCCATCGCAACGCATCTGGGTGCATACATACGCGTACAAGCTGCACAGCGACAGCACCATATGGTGGTTATGGAGAGCTACCGCACCACCGCGCCAAACACATCGTCAATAAAGTCCGCGTATGGAGCGACCCGCTTTCAGCTGTTTCTTCGCTCGGACTGACAGTCCGGATGTCGCAAAAGCTACATTTCCCTGGTCGCGGGGGATCACGCGCGACCATGCCCGACCAGACTGATCGGGCACCCATGGCCCGACCACTCTCGAAAAAGAAAAATCGGGCGTGAATGGGCGTGAACGGGCATGTTCAACCCGCTCAGACCCAATCCGACATGTTCAACCCGTTCAGGCCTGATGCGGGATGCTCATCGTGATCAGTCGTGGTCGGGGAGCCCCCAAAAAGTATACTTTTTTAGAATATATCATCGAAAAATTTTATTTGTCTACAGCTAATTTCGTAGCTGCAACTGCTGGTTTTTCTGTACTGTTTGTGCTTACGCTGTAGTACATTTTATTGAAGTTTAATACATGACACAGTTAGGAATCGAACACTCAGCTTCACGGAATAGCAGTCAGTAAGGGTTAGCGCACAGGAACCGTTCAGCTAGATGGACATGTTGTCTTTAAACGCTACATAGAATATATGCCCATCTCATTTTGCCCGATCAGAGGTGTTCACACCCGAGCAAGGGTAACAGTTCCTAATCGTCCCACAATGTACATACTCCTAACTACCATCTACGTCTCGTCTTCCTCACTAGACTCCTCGCTGCTTTCCTGTCGAACCTGCTTCTGCGGTGGCTCGGGTGCACCCTCTGGTTGCTGATCTGCCCTGCGCTTACGGCGGCCTTCCCGCGTCGACGGACCCGGTCCCGCGCCGCCATCCTCTTCTTCGCTCTGCCCCTCACCTTCCTCGGCTCCCCCGCGCGCGCGTTCATTTTGCTGCCCGTGTACGCGCCTGCCGCCGCGCCTCTGAGGCTCTGTGTCGGTCGAGTTGGCGGCGCGCGATGCAGCTGCCTTCTGCGCGCGCGCGCGAGCTTTCGCAGCATCGCGAATCGATGGCCCCGATTGGGAAGGTCCCAATTCGGATACGCCTAGACCTTGACTCGCCGTGGCTGGGAAAAGGCGCTCGTCCCACATTCGGAACGCGGCTAGGATCTGAGGTCGTTTCTCTTCGATCCCCTCCTCAATCTCTTGCTTATAGTCATTAAACCAGGTCGCCCAGTTGATGCCCGTCATAGCATCCTCGTCCGTTGTGTCCACTTCGGCCAACGACGAATCCTCTGATAGTCCCCAGCATGCCTACGACGCAGTGTGAGTACCAGATTTTTCTGTATAGAATGCTAACTCACCAGGGTACAGCCTAGCGCCATCATGCCCGGTGTCGTGAACTTGGCGCCGATCAAGCGCCCCATGTATTCCGAAGTTGCAGGACGCGGATGGCCGCCATCCGCCATAGCGCGTACACCGGCTGGGCCGAACAAGACTGCCGCCAGGCACTGAAGAGGTCAGTTTTGTGTACTCGCCAAGTCCGAGATCTTACTCACCCGCTGTGGCACTTCGCCCTTGAAAATAGTGTCGAGATCGTATCCATCCGGCGCCTGATGCTTCTCGTGTATGATCGCCGCATCGAGCGCCGAGTATCCAGCCCGGCCATCACCCCAGTCGGCGCGGTAACCAATGTACTCGCGGCAGTTCTCTTTGCGCCATGCGCTTGACCGGAGGCTCCTCGCATCGAACATCGGGAAGATGTCTGCTGTGGCTTGCGACTTGGCGATACGGCGTGCAATTCCTGTGCGCGTTTCGCCTTGCTGACTGTGGAACTGGTCACGAGTGGTCAGTACATATCGTCCCATTAACACGAATAGACCTACTGATGACTGGAAACTTGCAGACGTTTTGCGTATTTCCTTCCATTCAGCAGGTATGATTTCCTCCAAATCACGCAACTGCCCCTGATACAGACCCTCGCTATCACAGTACCGATTCGCGGCCGTCAAGTTGTAGTCGGTATCCCGATCAACATTACAGCGTACGCCGTTTGCAAGAAATAGATTATATGCGATGACGAACTTCTGTGCGACCCGCATCCCCGCTTCTTTGACCGCCTCAAGTCCGTCCTTTCCTGCATCGGTAGCCGCTGTGCGTCGCGCATCGCGTGTACGTTTCCCGTTGCCGCGCCCTTGCGTCGCCTCGAGCTCAGTAACCCTATTTGTGAGCTTCGTGAGGTCGTCCCGAGCGTCGACGAGTTTCTTTTCTAAACGGTGCCCGTTCTGTCACACCATGAATCAGACTCCGATACCAGTCAAAACGATCGTCCCATACCTCAATCAGTTGACCCTTACTGAGTTCCCTGGTGAACTCGATGTCCGAGTCCGAGTCCGAGTTGGACGGAGATGATGATCGCGAGCGAGCTGACATGCCCGGTAGTATGTGATGGGGCAATAATTCTGTCTGCGGGGAATGCTCATATATTTAGATGGCAAGTGTGGTTTGGTCTGGTGGTTAGATGAGTGCCGGTTAGCAGACGTCACCCGCAGCAACTTCGCGGAGTCTGTTCCGTTCACGCCCAACCACCCTCTCGTGCGCGGCGTCGATGTTCATCCTGTGCTATCCCTCTCTCGAACGACCATCATCTTGACCGATTAACACCCTCATCCCATGCCTCGCAACAGGAATCCCCCCGACCTCCCCTGGTGTAAATGGTGTACGAGTTTCAGGAAGCCGCAGCATTTCAAGAGGCATGTCGAGGCTTGTAAGCGCGATTACCGTGCGCGACGCGAGGAGCTGAGAGATGCCGGCGGTCCGGCTGGAAGGCACAGGCGCATACACATAGAAAGGGTCCGTATGATTACCAGACTATTATTGTTGACCAGTGCCTTATCATCTCTTGCAGGAGCATCGCGCGCATTCGCCTTCGCTTCCACCTGCCGACATGCAGAATAGTAACATCGATGTCGTCATGGACGATCTACAGGGTCATGAAGATTGTGAGTTCAAGCTGCGACTCTTCGCTCGAGTGGCTAGAGCTGAAACGATCTTTAGCTGTTGACGATGCCGATGGTCGCTCGGCATATATCCTCATTCGACCCCATCCGCACGCATCCGGCAAAGCAAATCCCTCACCCGACGACCTCAAGGATCTCCAACAGATCATACCTCTCGACGGACAGCCGGCGACCAACTCGTCTCGCGCCATTCCGGCCACATGTTCGGTACTACCTGGCATGTCCGCTCCCTGGGCACCATTCCGATCGCGCGTCGACTTTGAGTGGTTCGAAACTGTCTACGACGAGCTCAAGCCGGATAAGATCAAACGGCAACTGAATGGCTTGCACTCAAGCTGGTCGAAGAATGGCACTAATATCAGCTTTCAAACTTACGACGACGTCCAATTCCAGAAGGAGAAAGTACGCGAACTCGAGGAACCGGTGCGGCTTTCGTTGAACTCTAGAGTCACTTGATAATGACCGAGAGACAGTTTCTCTGCGGCAGGGTCGACGACGTATTCATGGGTATCGAGTATACGGTCGAATTCGAGTACCGCGATCTCATGGCATGGGTCCGTCGCATTGCGCAGGATAGGACACTCTTGCCATACTTCAGTTGGTATTCGGTTGAGAAGACCCTCCATACCCCCGACGGTGTTGTGGAGACCTTGATTGACGAGCCAGAGACGGGACGCGCATGGGCGGAAGCTGATGTATGATCGTCAGTTCTTTCAATTCACGGCAGGTATTTACTTATTTCCTAACAGGATAAACTCCCCGATCCCGATCCTTATCCGCATGCACTCTTCCCTATGTTGTTCTGGTTCGACAAAGGACTCGTCACGAAGCACGTCAAGATGCACCCCATTGCTGTTTACCCGCTAGGTGTTACATCGTCCATTCGTAATGGGTCGGGTAATGGGGGTGCCTACCACCTCGGTCTCATGCAAGAGGTATGTACTTGACTCAAACAAGGTCTACAAAGACTCATCGTGTGGCCATATAGATATCTACGCCTGCTTTTATCCTCGAAAAGAGATGTCCTCGCCCACAGAAGAAGGCCTGGGGTCGCTTCAAGCGCGGACTCTATCAGAAGGTCTTGGCCAAAGTCGTGCGTTCCGGGCGCGACCGTTCGCATGGTGGTGCAGTCATTGAGTGTAGTGACGACGTCACGCGTGTCGTGCACCCCAGTGTGCACATCTTATCGCTTGATGCCGAGGAGGCTTCCCACTGTAACTGCACACGCGGGCCGATGGCCAATCACCCATGTCCGAAGTGCAATGTGCATAGGAAGCATCTTGGCGACATCCTGTCACGCAATCACGTTCTTCGCACTAAGGACAAGATGCGGGAGATCCTCAAGAAAGCGCGCGCGATGGGCTCCACGAGCGAGGCGGAGAAGTTGCTCAAGAAGCATGGCCTTCATGATGTCGAGGTCGGTACACAACTCTATCGTTGGGCGACACCCGGTGCTGACTGGCATGTACTTAGCAATTTCTCGATGATTTTGCATTTTCAGATGCGTACCGAGCGTACGCGTACGATATCTTGCACTCCGATGACGAGGGAAAATGGGGGAAACATCTGTACAAGTTCATCGTCAAGGTTCTCGAAGATCGAGGTGGCGTCGGCAAGTTCAGAGACAAGTACGCCATGATTCCCCTTGTTAGCTTCTAGAAGCTAACGATCTTCTAGTATGCGTAACATACCACACTGGTCTGGGCTTCGACACTTCAACGATATCACCAAACCCGAGGCCCTCTATGATGGCGACCAGTACCTTGACATACTACGGGTTTGTCTTTCCATCCACGACCTTCACTCCGCATGCTGAATCTAATGCTCAGGTCATCCTTCCATGCCTCGCCAATCTCCGTCCGCGTGATGATGCTCTCGTGCATGACATACGTGCCTACCAGCGGGTGCGCATGACTCTGGCGCTTCGTTTGCAGAGCACGCGAAGGCGGGAGGCCCTCACGCGCTTCATCCGCAAGTACGAGGAGACATCCAAGGTTTGCAGCTTCTTTCAGATCCATGTGTAGGGGTCATCTAACCCTTCGCTCCGTCCAGGCATTGTCTGCAGCTTATGACGACGATGACTTGCACAAGGAATTTGACTTCCTGAAGCAACATCTGACTGCCCATGCCCCTGGCGATATCGCCGACTTCGGGGCGCCTCACAACTATACTACACGTCCGCGCGAGGGCCTTCACCAGATCTTCGCTGCTTACTATGCAAGGACGAACTACCGAGATGTTGAGTCTCAGGTGAGTGTCTACTTCCTATGCTATAGTACTCGCACTAACGATATCCCCCCAGATCAACGAGATGGACCGTCTCTCTGATGCCATGGCTGGCATTCGTATCCGCGTTGACATAGCTGATGAAGAAGCGGCGCGCATCGCCAAGGAGCATCGGGAATCGGACGACTTGATTGATGAGGCTGGGAACTCCGGCCCGAGTAGTGCTGCTAGCTCACCGTCATTCTCTTCTGGCGGGCAGACTGCAGTGGAATCGTCTGTACGTATTGACATCCCTCTCCTGCTTGTGTATGATACTGACGTAGCTGTAGGAGGGCGCACACTGGGTGCTCAGTGCACCGCTTTCGCGCAAGAAGCAGAACTCTGTTCAGTACAGTCGCGACATTAGTGACGGATCATTCCACCCGCAGCTGCACACATTCCTTCAACAGAATTTCCCCGAAATATTCATGCGTGATCCGGGTTCGGCCATACCGGTATGTGAGCTGTCAAGTTCTCCTTGTATGTAGGCTGACAGTCATAAGATCCGTGCATTCCAACGGCTCGTGCTAGAGTATCAGTCCATGGACGACCTTAAACTCGCACGCGACCTGCTCCATTGCAAGGCCAAGTTCTTTGATGAACCACGCTATGATTGTGCCATCTTGAACGAGGACTCGCCGAACGTGACTCTGGTTCGCCTACATGGACTATACCAGTGCAAGATCACACACGATCATTGGGAGGATGTCGCACGCGTCTCGTACTTTCGCGAGACAACTTACCAACCTTGGACGGCTTGGGATGGTTGCACGGTACGCGAAGAAGAATCGAAGCGAGAGTTTGTACTTGTTAAATATCTGGTGCGGGGAGCACACATGATACCGGTATTCAATGGTCCGCTTTCGCGCCCGGACCACTACTATCTCAATGACTGTATAGACAACGATATGTTTGTACGCATGACGCCTGAACTGAGACTTGTATGATAGCTAGCAGTTCTATCTACTGTATACGAGTACAGATGCCTATCCGACGGCGACTTCCCTCAGTAACAAACCCTCGACGCCGGCCACCAGTGGTCTGGGCGATCGGGTGTGATCAGCCCGCTCGAGAACCGTGAACGGTCGCAGTTGGGCATGAGCGGGCGCCCCGCCGAACCCGACCGGGTTTGATTGGGCCCGCCGGGTGCTGCTGGGCGTGATCAGGAAAATGCGACTTTTGCGACAGACTGCTGGGCTATTGCTCATGCTATCGCCCCACAAGGCTCTCAAAGGCACGCACGGTTTCGAGAGCAGGCGCAGTTCGGACGCGACGTCAGTGTGGCTCATGAGCCGAGGTTAGGGCTTGACGTCATGTCGTCCTGGGTGGCGAAGCTGCCTATATAAACGCGAGATGAACTTCTCAGAGACTCTTCACCAAATCATACACCGCTCTACCAACTCAACTCTCACCCAAATCACTTCACTCACTCCTCATCATGTCTTACGTCCCCGAGAACCCCACGTACGCCTGCGTTTCAATTCATGTCTCATTGATCGCGTTGACTAACTCGCTCGAGCAGCAAGTCCAACGGCCAGTTCCACAGCGTCAAGGGCACCATCGTCGAGACGATTGGCAACGTTACCGGTCTTCAGGACTGGCAGACGAGTGGCCGCGATGAGCACGCGTCCGGCGAGGCCGAGTACAACGCTGCACAGGCCAAGGGCTACGTCGAGGGAACCGCTGATCGCGTTGGCGGCAAGGTCGATTCCGTCGTCGGTGCCGTTACGGGCGACAAGCAGCAGCAGGCGTCTGGTATGTGACCATGATGTACTCCAAGTTCTATCGCGGCTGACATCGCGCTAGGCAACATCCGCCATGACGGTGGTGTAACCAAGCAGGAGATCAACAAGCCCGAGTAAAGGCTTGCTCCGGGCATGACGCTGACGACACTGTACGACTCTACGCATATATAATGTACCTATACCCTGTACACATATGGTTGCTGTATAATACCACAGAAGCGACAACTTTTCCTACCCAGATCGAGTGCGCGTTGCGGTGAAATCCTGTCGACCTCCCCATCAAGTGCAGTGCGAATCCCGGAACGCCAGCAAGACGAGCTTCGACGGCGGCGGTGAAGCCGGTGATTATCATCAGGCGCTTTCTAAATGAATCAGGTCAGCTGTACGCTAGATGAGAAGAGCAATATGCCGGACTGACCAAGGACCGCGCGGCAACGTATCGAGCGCCTCTCACTAGGTTTCCTGACACGTACCTCACGTTGGGACCGCATCCCGAGGCTAAAAGACCCGGTTAAGTCCCCGCGTAAGGAGCTCAGATTGAGGGATACGAAGGTTCGTTGTCTGTAGTTGACTGACGTCGAGCACTCGGCACCGTGGTGGTTGCGCTCAAGATTCAAGAAGCGCGCGACTCGCCTCTTTCCTCTTGCCGTGACGAGGGCGACAGATCTTTACCGCTGTAATCTGCGCTACTTGATAAATGACGGAGCACAATATCTGCTATAGAATCCCGCAATGGGTCCAATGGTCGTGTTGGTGAATATGTATTGTCTGTTCATAAGGCCTAAGGCGCTCCCGGACATTGATATTGTAAGACGCCAGGAAGCGCTATGAAGTTCATACTGCTCGCCATGCAGAGACCTCGCGCAGACCTCTTAATGCCAGACACGACGTTCAAGCGAGTGGTCAATCGTCTCTGCTCCTCTTGTCTCTTACCTTCGTCTCTGTAAGCTAGCCCCATCACTGAACATGCCTACAGAGGATAAGCCTCATTATGAGAAACCGGAGGACTTCCCGCAACCAACCACGCTTTGTTGTACCTGCTTTTCGTCCACTCACTGACAACGCCGACTCTTAACGGCATACCACATGTCTGAGCCATGTCGAAGAACAGAGTGTGTATCTGTAAGGATCAAACCGAAAGTGGGTCGCAGACCTATGAACCGGGCGCTTACAGTTATTCACTACGCCTCCGGTTCACGAACCGAGCGTCTCTACGCTTTCGTTTGTGGGCATCCGGTCGCACTGGTCAGACACAGTATACTGTGGTGCAAGAGCGTACGTATATAAGGGTATGGCTGCTGTACTTTGAACCTCATCGACAATACACCCTCATCGTCTACATCGTCTACACCTTCTCGATATTCAACATGTCTGACCACCCCAACTTCAAGGGTCTCGACGAGACGCTCCCGGTGAAGACTCATCATGCGTACGTCTCATTCGCTTGCCTCTGAACAGCATTCATAACTGACTTCGCTGATACAGCGTGTACTCAGGCAACGATCCCAAGGCTCACTTCGCGAATAAGACCAACGCCGGCAAAGTTGTACTCGTCACAGGTGCTTCTCGCGGCCTCGGCGCTAGCGCGGCAATGCACTATGCGCGTGCAGGTGCCTCCGTTGCGATTGTTGCGCGTAGCGCCAACCTTCTCGAGCAAGTGCGCGCCGAGATCGTGAAAGAGACTCCCAGCGCGCAGGTCTTGACGTTCGTCGTCGACGTCAAAGACTCGGCCGCGGCGGAACGTGCGATCGAAGAGACAGTCAAGCAGTTCGGCAAGCTTGACGTGCTCGTCGCCAATGCTGGAGCTTGCCTTCCGTTCGAGAAGCGTGAGTGGTCCACAGCGCATTCGTTGCCGGGAAGAGGTGCTGATTGTCGCCATTCAGGTGTCGGAGATCGCGAGGACTCGCTTGGCTGGTGGGCGATTTTCGAGGTCAACATCTTCGGTGTTTACAACTTCGTGCGCCCTGCTCTGAAGCATCTCGAGAAGAGCGAGGGCTACGTGGTCGTAGTGAGCACAATGGCTGCACAACTGCGTATCCCGACGGCGTCGGACTACGGTAAGCGCTCGCCTATTGCACTTCCTCTCCCTCGATATGCTGACTAGGTGATGTAAAGGCGTGAGTAAGCACGCAATTGGCCGCTTCGTTGAGTACGTTGCCCTTGGTGAGCAACAATATCTTCTCTTGTAAGTTCAGCTTTGACAAGGAGCAGAGCATCCAAGCGTGAAACCGTTTGCTGTCCATCCCGGCGCTGTTGACACCGAGCTTACACGCGAGTCCGGTGCGGACAAGACGTGGTTCACAGACCCGCCCGAGCTCTCGAGCGGCACGTTCCTTGCCCTGACCTCCGGCAAATACGACTGGTTGCGTGGCCGCTTCTATGACTCGACTTGGGACATCGACGAAGTCGCACAGCTGAAGGAGAAGATCCTGGAGAAGGACGCGTTAGTTAGCAAGCTGGTTGTTAAGCTGGATTAGAAGCGTACTGTGGAGACAGTGTATGTGTGTGTCGGAAGACCCTTGGAATTGTCAATGACTGCCGCAATTCATGTCAATTCCCAATCTACGCGACTCGTTCTGGTCGTGAAGTATGTGCTTTGGCATCCCTTGGCAATACATATCGTGGACAAAGACGTAAAGGTAAATGGCATTAGCATGTCCGTCATCTAGACACACGAACCCGTACGATATACTATACAGTTAGTCGTTCAAGAATAGAAATCCAGGAATGATGAGATAGGTGCGAGGTGCATCGACGATCTGTGGCAAGTCATTATCATGAGGGGAGGTGCAAGGATCGACCCGAAGATAACAGCCAAAAGCGCGTCGTCGCTGCCACGACCGGGTGGGAACGTGCAGTGCCGGGATCCCGGGAGCTCGCGCCGGGCGCTTTCTCGCCGCGGTCATGGACCTTGGTCGGATTTTGTCGAGACCTGGATGTCCTAGCCATTGCGGGATGCCCGCCGCAACTGTATCGCAGGAAAGGGGGTACTGTGGGTTGCTTGCCCTGGGTTAGGGTTGGGTAGTGGCGCTGATAACGTATGCTGGGCGGCGAGCCATTCTTAACCGGGTATGTTAACCTGGTTCATTAACTGCGAATTAGAAGAATTAGAACCGGTTAAATGGCTGTATATTCACCGCACCTTAATGAGCGCGTAATCGCTACAACAGCTGTTGATCATACCGCGTTCGATTGACGCGCCTGCCAGTCGCGAGTTCTTATGGTCTCCAGTGATACGACCGCTGCCGCCTGCGCGGCTTCGCGTCCACGACGGCTCTGGAGTTTAAGAGATGGGTGCTCCCCAGACGCAATCAAGCGGAATCCTTCCACGCCATGCTCCCCCGAACGGCGGAAGTGCTTGCGGAGCCCGTTGATGTGCGTGTACCGGCGCGTGCAAATGCCGACGGCGCATTCGATCGGACGAAGGGCCTCGTCGGCAGTGATGATGCCTTTAGGATTGACATCAATCATAGTAGTGTATTGTTTCTTGGAGGCGTGTTTTGTGTCGGTTTGGAAGTCCGTGCTTGGAGCGTGGGGACATGACCCGCGTTGCCAATGATATCCCAGTTTGGAATCGCATTTGTACGACTTGCGGCAACCCACATCGGGACAATGGAAGGCTTTGCAGGGCTTGTGTTGCGGACGTATGGTGATCCTGCCATCGGCTCGCGCTGAGCTGGGGCCTGCAGTGTCAAGCACCGGCGCAACGCTAGGAGTGGAGGTGGTAATGGCAGTGAGAGGGGAGTCCCGTCCTGCGGATGGGGCGGTTTCGTCCCGGGGCGTTATTTTCATTGCGTCTTGCTTCGACGGTTCGTCGAGACTGAGACCGGGGGCGCCAGAAATCTTTTCTGGCACGGATGCTTGGACAGGCGTGTGTACAGCGGTGTGCCCTTCATCGCAATGCATAGCATCGAATGAGAGTAGAGACTGAACATCAAGCCTCATCCGGTCATTGAGGTCGCAATCCCACGGTTCAAGTGTGGAATTAAGGTCTGAATATGAGGGTTGACACGCAGGGAACGAGTTGGCCTCCTTGGCGGCCGGATATAAGCGCTCCTCTAGTTGATTGAACGGATTAGGAGGGGAGGTTGACCCGATGCGGGATATAGCGTGTGCCTTCTCTATGTGTTCGACGATCTCGTACAGCTGGCGAAGAGGCAGCCCGCAGCAGTTATACTGCTGATTGTCAGCAGCGTTTGCGGTCTAGTCAAATACCACTCACTACTACATCTTCCTTGGCATATGCCAGGGATGCGACGTTGTCGACTGTCAACGATCTGCCCGACAGTGTATATTGGATATCTATGGGCGCGCTGGCGCGCCAGGCGGAGGGGGAGGTACACTCTGTGCGCTGGTACCGCACCTGGCCAAAGATGCCGTCTGGGTCGAAGCGCAGCATTGTGATGTCTGCCGTGTGTTGATGAGCGATGAATGATCGGTCTATAGGAGGGAGTTGGGTGTGTAACGAGTTAAAAGCCTATGGTGACGGTTGGTTGAAGAGTCGAGGATGCCACGTTGCACCCGTATAAACGAGAAAACCGCGCGCTTGTTTCGCTATAGAAGTTGACAGGACGAGGGGCTGATGTGATGCGATGGGGGCTGGGCCCAACGGGGCATGTAGCGCCGAAGCCTTCACTCTTCTGTGTCGGTTTACCTTGACTTTCCTTGCCTAAACGCGCTTCGTTGGGTATACACGTCTCTCTAACGCGCAGAGACGCGAGATAAGCGCACTGCGGTGAGTTCGGAGAAGAACGAGGGTATGATCCTGAAACACCAGGAAGGACCATCACGTACATAAAGCGTCGCTTGCACAAGACTTCAGAATTCAAGAAAAACTTGAAGGGAAAACGCGAGGCAGCCTCCTGTCAAGTAAAATCAGTAGCGCCGGCATCTGGCTGCAGTCAGCGATACGCTCTCAAGGCTTGAGGGCGTATCCTGAGCGCTGCGCACCAGTTGCATGTACGGGCGTCAAAATCCGCGCTCATAACGCTGTGCTTGATGCGCCTGAAATAGGCGCCTGTCTCAACCATTCAATCCCGCCTACGCCACGAGTACACATGGTCAAGTGGTATGTGTGCCCCGCCACGAGGTTAGCAGCCTTCAAGTCCCTTTCAACAAGAGGAGGTTGGAGGCGGAGGGCGGAGGAAGGTCTTGGACGTTGCGATCCTATTTTCTGCTCGGCAAGTTCGGCCGACGCTGCCACGTGTTTTGCCGGGAGCGGGCGTCAACCCATTAGCGAAGTACATCTGCGTCTGGCATTGACTACTATGACAGGTCAGAGGGCCTCTATTCACAACCCAAGGTTCCGTCTGTGCCCTCTATCGCACGACAAGGTGTACGTGAAGAACTCCAACTTCATACGCAAACGCCTATAAGTATATCGGATCAGACGACTTCTACTGTAAAGCGGGAAAAAGTCAGACGTACACGATACACCTCGTACATTCCCACTTTAGCTCGGCCCCGCCTCCTTATCCTTATGACAAGCCGCCTTGACAGCCTCCGTCACCGCAACCTGCACACCAGTCTCCTCCCCAGCAACCGCAGCGAAAGCGCCATGCTCTTCTGATACGCGATCCTTCACTTGTCCCAGAAGTGTGCCCCCAGTCCGGCTGTGAGGCAGACAAAGCCACGACCGCGATGTTCCGGCTCGAGGGTCACAACCATTAGCGTCGAGACAAGCGCCCGAGGTGAGCGGAGGACGTGGATGTGGATGAGAGGAATGGTTGGAGAGGCACGATTGCGGGGTGGGCGAGGAGTAGTATTGGGTCTTTGACGGCCTTTTGGGGATCTGAGTCGATGGCCTGTGAGAGTTGTAGCATCAATCAGACCTATCCAGTTCTGTCGAAAGTGCAAGGTGCGTACATGCTTCGCATCAGCGGCGAACGCCTAGACTGTCCTGAACGTTCTCTGGCAACATTCCACCAGCTCTCCCGTCTTGCAGATTCGGAAACGTCCGTGCGAGTCCTCCCTTGTCACTCGGTGTTGTGGTTCCACATAACGCTGTCGGGGGTGACGATGTCGATACTGATCTTGAGAGCGGTGGCGCGGTCGATGATGATGATGATGATGAGGCGGGGATGGCCACCAGTCCGAGGTCAGGCCACGTGCTATCTCTGTGAGATTGAGCAGGTGGCGCGCCCGGAAGAGAGAGCCGTCGATTGGAGGGAGGCGGGAGGCGGCCGGGGTGAGTGACGCGCGTATAAATGCGAGAGCTTCGGGTGAGAGGTTGGCGATGATCGCTGGCCAGGGCGTATCGTCAGCCTAGTACTAGACTGAGTAGAGCAGAATGAACCATACCTGCGCTAACTCGCCAAGTTGGCAATGGACTCGTACAGCGTGACCGAGTGTGGGGTACCATGCCTCGCGGGGCTCGAGCTTAGCGCCCGCGAAACCGCGCGCGCCCGTAGCCTTCTCATGCGGCGGTACGGAGTTGCCCTAGCGATCCTTGCCTGGGTCCCCGCGTTAGCCATATATCACTCTCGTAGCTTACTGAGTACATACCACGAAGTATAGCAGAATATGCCGGACCGCCATTTTTGTGCACGGAACCGCGAACCTCGCTCCGGATCTGATTGTGCGCGGAAGAACAGATGCGTCTGGGCATCTTGTGAGACGGTGGCGAGCAGTGCTGCGACCGGCAGTGCCAGTCTTCCATACTCACACCCGGACCTGAGCAGACGACGCGGCCGTGCTGGTCAGAGGTATTGCGCGGCGTGTTGTCGACGAGGCATTTGGGTATGGATCTAAGAGTGGTGCGAATACTGGGGAGGAGAGCGCTGGAGAGCGGCAAGTAGAGCAGGTGGAACGCCGTCGTGGCTTCGGTTCAAGATGTAGGCGCGAGTAGAGCGCAACACGACTTGCCTTTTGACCACGATGTGCCTCGCTGGGTGCATGCTACCAATTTTCCCTCTGAAGGATCATTGTCATAGTAAATCGGTCGCACCGACCGCCTTGTGTATTAGCAGCCCACGCCGCATGCGTGAACGTATGAAAGACGCTGGGAACGATGAGCCCAGGAGGATGATGCTTGTCGATGCATCTCACACACGGCGCGCAAGATCGTGCCTCTTACACTCATCTCGTTTTATCCGCCCAATCTTGTAATACATCCCTGTGTCTTCAATGTCAGAAAAGGACTCAGACGACAAGCCCGAGTATGATCAGCCGGAAGACTTCATATGGGATACATACCTGAAGGCTTCCAAGGACGAAGATGAGGCGCGGCCGAAGAACTGGGAGGGCAGTACGACAGGCATCCTCACCTTTGTGCGTACTACTCATCTAACAACCGAAGGTGGATGCTGATAACACGCTATAGACTGGTCTATTTGCTGCGACCGTGGCAGCGTTTATCGTCGAGAGTTACAAGCTGCTGTCCGCCGACTCTGGCGATCAAACTGTGCAACTCCTCTCGCAACTCCTTGTTGCGACCGCGAATGCATCCTCGGGACTTCCCATCGTCATCGCGACGCCTGAACCGTTTTCTACTCCACCCTCGGCCATCGCGACGAACGTTCTATGGTTTACGAGTCTCTTGATCTCTCTCATCTGCGCGTTGTTGTCAACCCTGGTTCAGGAGTGGTCTCGAGCCTATGTCCAGGACATTAATAGACGAAAGGTCCTCCACGAAACCATGCGCGAACGCGCCTTCAACCATATCTTCATCCGTATGGGTGTCAATCGCTATGGCATGGACCAGTTCGTGTCTTGGATTGTGGCGCTCGTGCACCTATCGGTCTTTCTCTTCGCTTGTGGGCTTCTAACATTTCTATTTCCCATTGACTACGTCGTAGCTGGCATTGCGACTACGCTATTTGGGATCTTTGTGATCGTATACTGCGCCGCTAGCCTACTCCCTCTCCTTGAGAAGAGCTGTCCGTACAGAACCCCGATCACATACGTGATGGCCTTCGCTTACTGGTCCGCTTTGCACAGCCGATTCCGAAATGTCGTCTCATGTTTGCTGAAGACGACTCAAGGTGGAGGAAACATGAAACTTCGCGACCTCGTTGCAAGACAGTATCAGCGCGAGGACTTATGGGACGATCGTCGATGCGTAGAAGGATTCCTGACCGACACTCGGCGTTTATTCCTGTGGAAACACATGTTCCCACATATATCGCAAGAGAATGAGGAGCAGTTCTACAAACTGTTGCCTCTCTACATTGATCTGCACCCAGGCAGAGATGCGTTACTCAGCACATTATGTGCCGATGATAAGCTCATAGAGGGTATTTACTGGTATCTCGATCGAGCATACAATGCTTATGAGGGCGACCCTTCCTCATCCCACTTTGCGCTTGAGATATTCGAGCTTGTTTCAAATCTTTCAGAGCGTATGTTTGCGTCAGAGATAGAGCAATATAATGATGGCCATCTAGAGGCTGCCGAACGCACGAGCAGTCGGCTTCTGATGGTGATAGGTACTGTGTCGCAGGTGGCACGAACAGAGGGGCCTTTTCAGCTCCCTGCTCGGCTATGCCTTGCACGCGTCGTGAGCTCGCTTCTGGGACTCTGCCGGACTGCGTCTGAAAAGATGCCGACTCTGAAGGAAAAGGAAGTGCCGGGTTTCTTTGAAGAGATACGCCACCCGTGGATAATAGGGTTCAATGGGCGTCACCCCAGCGCGATTCTCCTCCTCCTCGTCCGTGGAAGTTATAATGGATATTACTGGGAACCTGTGGGCCAGTCAACCTTGTTGCCTTTGCACGACGACGTCTGTTGCAGAGACTGGCGAAGTGTTTTAACCCGTGAAGGGCGTGAGCATGTAAGAGCATGCAACGCATTGTCAGTCGTTGCGCACATATTGAACTCCGCTCCCGACCAAAGACGCTCAATCAAACATGATTTGCGCAGTGCGACTCGTTTTATGTACAGGCAGCTGAAGCATGGCTTGGTCATGCAAGAAGATACCAGAATGAAGATACCTTCTCCCGAGTTTGTAGACGTATTGCGATTAGCCGGCCTCGATGAATGGCTCGAGCCTGGACACCTACTGTTTCACTGTGTTCCGCGTCATGGACCCAATGAGGATTTTCTTATTGAAAGTGACGAGTACAAATGTTTACATATCCTGCAACGCTTTGCGTTAAATGTCGACTTCTCGGCATACCATGCGCGACAGATACCCGAATCTCCGCGGACGTGCACGTCATCGCCAGATTCTTTTACTTCTTCCCAGGAAGCCGAACGAGGGAGTTCTCCGCATGTTTCGCTACTCTCGCTTCTCAGCGCTGAAGACGCGATCCTTGAGCCATATGCATCCGCTGTGGCCTGCGGTGTCAAGACGAGCCCCACTGGCAGCATCTCATGGCCCTCATACAGCCGACAGCTGGATATCTTCTCGGCATACACGCGGGAGGTGGACGCGGTGCTGTCCGGTGCTATCATCAGCTGCGCGAACAGTGACTGCAGCATGAGACAACAGCGCGGATACGATCGAACAGTGCTGAACGCTTCGACAATTCCCCCTACTCCGTCATCATCTAGCCGCCATCACAATCTCATCGGCGATTGTGCGGATCGAATTTCAGGAGGCGCCGCTGAGAGAAGTGAGAGTTTCCGCGCGCACGTCGAGTGGGAGAGAGAAGGCGTACATCCGTCTCATACACCGGTATTGACGGCTGTGGTCGTAGAAGGCAATCGCGATTTAGACGACGATGTGCTCGACGACGAGCCCCTGTCGTGGGTAACTGGCTCGGAGAGCGTGGGGGTACAGGGAGAGGTGCATGTAGAAGTGGGTGAATAAGAGAGTGAACGAGATTAGCTAGATGTCACAGTGCCTTGAATATATTACGCTCTGAGCCCAAGTTTGGCTACAATGGAGGGACTCGTAGGATCCAGACCAAACAAGGAAATGCAGAGAAAGCTCTAGAACGGCGTATCCGGGCGGTCATATCGTTGTGTGAGGTCAAGCTAATCGCCATGAGTGCGACGACGACCACGCAGTGATGGAACTCCGAATGCAAGCCGCCAACAAGCCGCCAGCGCCAAACGCGACGCGACGCGCTCGTGCGAACTTTCGACGCGATCACATGTCCGTGCCCCTTTCCAAATTTCCGCAATCGCGCCTGACTTGTCCTAAGCACTCATCCAGTGCTCGATCCAGCACGATCCACAGTGCGTTCACCGATCACAACTATGCGAAGCCCATCTCATGGCGTGAAAGATGCTGGTGCTGTACGGCTCGTCTGTGCACTCGCCCTCCAAGCGCGCGCAGCTGCTCGCGGCGGCGCAGAAGCTTATCCCGGCTTTGAGATCGTTGGATGCCGTACATCTTCATCTCGTTGCGCCCGCGTCGGACGATATCAAGAATGTGAATAGTGAAGCGCGCAGGACGCTTGATACGCTGCTCGCGTACGGCGATGATGATTCGCTGTCCTCGACCGTCTCCGCTCTCCGTACATCCGACGGAGTGATCTACGTCCTCCCGCGCCCAGGCTCTGTGTCGCCATGGTCGTCCAAAGCAACTGATATATCCGCTCTTTGCGGTCTTGAGTCGCACGTCTCGCGTCTCGAACGCGGTGCGGCCTATGTCTTTGAACCGGCCCTATCTCCCGAGGAGCTCGAGCTCGTGAAGCCGATTATACACGATCGCATGACTCAGGCCGTCTTTACGGCTCTCCCAGATGAAAGTGAGGTGTTCAGGGAAGGAGAAGCAAGAGAGCTGAGGACCGTGGGGATCATGGAGGGTGATGCAAGGGAGAGGCTCGAAAGGGCGAACAAGGAGTTGGGGTTGGCGCTTGCGCCAGATGAGATCGTATGTCGCATTCTCTCAACATCTTCCTGATATTTATACTCATCAGCACCTTAGACGTATCTCCTCGATGCATTCGTATCGGGTCAAACTCCGCTCTCGCGTAACCCGACCGACGCTGAACTATTTATGTTCGCCCAAGTCAACTCTGAGCACTGTCGGCACAAGATCTTCAATGCTTCCTGGACGCTCAACAACGCCGACCAACCTCACTCTCTCTTCAACATGATTCGAAACACAGAGAAAGTCGCCGGCGGGGAACAGAGCGGTACGATCAGCGCGTACAGCGATAACGCCGCCGTCTTCTCCGGCAGCCGGGCACCTCGAATGGGTATCAAGGAGGGTGTCTGGGAAGCGGTGGAAGAGCAAAACGAGATCCTCGTCAAGGTTGAGACGCACAACCACCCCACGGCTGTCTCGCCCTACGCGGGCGCTGCCACAGGCTCAGGTGGCGAGATCCGCGACGAAGGCGCTGTCGGCCGCGGCTCAAAGCCCAAAGCCGGTCTTACGGGCTTCACCGTCAGTGACCTACGTATCCCCGGCTTCGTGAGACCCTGGGAGCTGGACGTAGGCAAACCGGCTCACATCGCTTCGTCGCTCGATATCATGCTGGATGCGCCTCTCGGCGCGGCGGCGTTCAATAACGAGTTTGGGCGGCCCGCGTTGGCAGGATACTTCCGCACGTTCCTTGCGCGCGAGCCGGGGACGCCCCATGTGCCTGTTGGGACCCACAAGCACGCGCATCCAGATGATATGCCGCATGGGGAGAAGGGAACAGGAAAGGTTAGGTTGAGGGGATATCATAAGCCGATTATGCTCGCTGGAGGCGTGGGTAATGTGAGGCCGGAGTTCGCGCATAAGCGCCAGATCGACGTGCGTCTTTCCTTCCACCACCACCACCACCCTCTTCCCCTCTCTGCACTATCACTGACCTGATGGTGACACTAGGTTGGCGCAAAGCTCATCGTCCTCGGTGGGCCGGCCCTGCTCATCGGTCTTGGCGGCGGTGCGGCGTCTTCTAAAGCTGGAGGCGAGGGCAACTCGGAGTTGGACTTCGCAAGCGTGCAGAGAGATAATGCTGAGATGCAGCGCAGGTGTCAGCAGGTACGTCTATATACCCCGAGAATGAGCAGGGAACTGATGGGCGTTGTGCAGGTCATCGACGCGTGCACGCACCTCGGCGCACAGAGCCCGATTCAGAGTATACATGATGTCGGCGCTGGCGGGTTGTCAAATGCACTGCCTGAACTGGCGAGTCTTCCGATTACCCTGTCTATACCCGTGTGCTAAATAACATGCTAGGTGCACGACAGTGGCCTGGGCGCGACGTTCGAGATCCGGGATGTACCCGTAGCGGACGGTGCGTTGAGTCCAATGGAGATATGGTGTAACGAGTCACAAGAACGGTGCGTTCCTCCTCCCTCGTTTCTTCTTGTAGTACTCATCCACACCCCAGATACGTCCTCGCCATCTCCCCCACCTCCGTCGACCTCTTCACCTCTATCGCCACCCGCGAACGCTGTCCCTTCGGCGTAGTCGGTACCGCCACGTCTGAGCAGGAGCTCGTCGTCACGGACCGCTTGTTAGGCAAAGATGTAATCAGGTTAGGCATGGGGATGCTGTTTGGCAAACCGCCGAGGATGCATAGGACGGATGAGAAGGTTGAGGGGAAGAGGATCGAGTTTGACGGTATTTTTGCTACCACGCTCTCCTTTTGAATCCAGTAGAGGCTTATGGCTGGTCGTAGCGACGCTCGAGCGCCCGATGTGGGCTCTGCCCTCTCTTCAAGCGCGCGTAGCCGAAGCCGTCAACCGTGTACTTCACCTCCCGACTGTGGCGAGCAAGAGCTTCCTCATCACTATTGGCGACCGCACCATCACTGGTCTTGTAGCGCGCGACCAAATGGTCGGACCTTGGCAGGTGCGTCTTTGGTCTCACAGGCTTGTTCGAGGTAAAGGCTAACGACTGGTCGCGATGTGTACAGGTACCCGTAGCAGACGTAGCAGTGACTCGCGCCGGCTACGGCTTCGACATCCACATAGGCGAAGCAATGTCAATGGGCGAGCGTACACCCCTCGCCCTCCTCTCCCCTTCCGCCTCAGCCAAGATGGCCGTGTCTGAGTCCCTCACGAACCTCGCCGCATCCTACGTCGGACCTCTCAACCGCGTCAAGCTGAGCGCGAACTGGATGAGCGCAGCAAGCGAGAAGGGCGAAGGCGCGGCGCTGTATGAGGGTGTACAAGCGGTTGGGATGGAGCTCTGTCCGACGCTGGGTGTGGGGATTCCGGTGGGGAAAGATAGTATGAGCATGGCTATGCGTTGGTCCGACCGCTCGTCTGAGGCCGACGGAGGAAAGGTGGACAAGGAGGTCGTTGCGCCGCTCAGCTTGATCGTCACGTCCTTCGCGCGGGTTCAAGACGTACGCAAGACGTGGACCCCGACCCTCAGACGGGACGTGAAGGACACGGTGCTTGTTCTCCTCGACCTCGCACAGGGCAAGCACCGACTCGGCGGGAGTGCATTGGCGCAAGTCTGCGACGAGCTCGGAAAGACCGCGCCTGATGTGGACGATCCTGCAGTTCTCAAGGCCTTCTTCGATGCGACGCAGCGCGAAGACGTGCGCGAGTGGGTATTAGCGTACCACGATCGCTCGGATGGCGGTCTTCTTACGACGGTGGCGGAGATGGCTTTCGCTGGACGCGTTGGGATTACGCTTGATCTGGATCAGGTCGTTGGAGAGGGCGGACCCGTGGCGCGGTTATTCGCGGAGGAGCTCGGCGCTGTTGTGCAAGTGCGCCGCTCGGACATTCCCGCCTTGACATCAGCATTCGCGGACTCTGGCTTCCCATCGAGCGCTGTTCATATCGTGGGGACAGTCGCGGACCATGACGGACTCGTCACCGTTCTCTGGGAAGGCGAGAAGCTCTTTGAGAGCACACGCAGCGCGCTGCAGGAGTTGTGGAGCGAGACGAGCATGCGGATGCAGAGTCTGCGCGATGACCCGACTTGTGCGACAGAGGAATACGCTCTTATCAAGGACGAAAAACACACCGGCCTATTCTACGACCTCAAGTTCACCCCTCCCTCTCCATTGAACGACTTGGCGCCCATCAAACCAAAGGTTGCGATTCTCCGCGAACAAGGCGTCAACGGTCAAATAGAGATGGCATGGGCGTTCGGCGCGGCAGGGTTCGAAGCGCACGACGTACACATGAGTGATCTCATCTCCGGGCGTGTCGATCTCAGCTCGTTCAGGGGTCTCGCGGCGTGCGGAGGGTTCTCGTACGGCGATGTCCTAGGCGCAGGAAAGGGATGGGCACATTCAGCGCTCTTACACTCCGAAACACGTCGTCAGTTCTCGGCGTTCTTCGAGCGCGAAGATACGTTCGCGTTGGGCGTATGCAACGGGTGTCAGTTTATGTCGCATCTCAAGGAGCTGTTACCAAAGGAGGCGCATGACTGGCCCGAGTTCAAGGCTAATCGGGCGGGGAGGTTCGAAGGGCGCGCGAGTATGGTCGAGGTGCTCGATACGTCGACGACGAGGAAGAGCGTGTTTTTGCGCGATATGGTCGGGTCGAGGCTTCCCGTGGCCGTCGCGCATGGTGAAGGACGCGCTTCGTTCGCTTCGACCTCTCAACGCAACGCCTTCCTCTCCTCGGATCTTGCCGCCGTGCGCTTCGTCGACTCTCAAGGCCTCCCCGCTGAGTCTTACCCGTCCAACCCGAACGGCTCGTCCGGCGGCTTGACGGGTGTACAGACGCCCGACGGACGCGTATTAGCGCTGATGCCGCATCCCGAACGCGTTGTTCAACTCGAAAGCAATTCGTGGTACCCGCAGGAGATGAGGTATGTTTGGGAGGGCGTTGGGCCGTGGTTCCAGTTATTCGTTAGTGCGAGGAGGTGGAGCGCGTGAGGAATCAGGGCGCGGTGTTGCTGAAGGGTGGAGCAAGAAGTTTAGAAGTGTGTATGGGGCTTCTTGGGGGGCATGTAAACTTGAAGGTCGCGTTTGTATTGCTAGAAGACAAGAATGATGTAGAGTAAAAGGGCGGTCTTGAATTTATAAGTATTTAGACTAAGACTCGTGGGCGAGAGCGTCAGACATAGCCTTGTTGATCCCAATGGCTCTGTATGTGCGAACCCGATATGTATGTAGATGATTTTCGTTTCCAAGATAAAAGAAATAGAAGCGATGCTGCTATATTCCCACACGGGGAATCGAACCCCGAGCTGCCGCGTGAAAGGCGGCAATGTTAGCCGTTACACCATATGGGAGATATTAGGTTGTTAACTAGCTGCACTGAATGGGCCTCTGGAGCTCACACCCGCTCAGTTTCACAAACGAAAGGTACCATCAACCAAGTCTTACACTCACGAGCATGTGAGCGAGATCTCCCATATACTCTTAGCTGAATGATCAATGCTCGGTGTGCCGCTGAGCGGCGGACGCCTGTCTCACTGCAGTCATCACCGTCGTCATTGCCAGGTGCAGTCGAGTAATTAGAACCTAGCAATGCTCGATCCCCATGTCCGTGACATGCAGCCGGAGAAGCTCTACTGGCAAACGTATCTGGATTCAGCAGCAGTAGAGGATAAATATCTGCCAGAGAGCTGGGAGGCGAACACCGGTAGTGTTCTGACATTCGTGAGTACTACTTCCTATCCGGTGTAGAACGCCGAGAATGGTGCTGAGATGTTCCCTCAACTTAAAGACTGGTCTCTTTGCTGCGACCGTCGCGGCTTTTCTTATCGAGAGCTACCATTCACTCTCGCCCGACTCTGGGGACCAGACCGTGGAGCTTCTCGCCCTGATGCTTGCCGCAACAGCAAACGCGTCCACGAACGTCCCCGTGAACGTCCCTCCGCCGGCGCTGTTTCAAGCCTCCACTTCGTCTATCGTCGTGAACTCGCTCTGGTTCTCCAGTCTTATCATCGCCCTCTCGTGTGCTCTCTTATCCACGCTCATACAAGAATGGGCGCGCGATTATAAACGGGATATCAATCACCGCCGGACGCTCAATGACAGCTTACACATCCGCGCTCTCAGCCACATCTACATCCGCATGGGGATCAGCCGCTATGGCATGGAATACGCGGCATCTTGCGTCTCTGCGCTTATACATCTCTCTGTCTTCTTGTTCGCAATTGGACTCGCCATTTTCTTATTCCCTGTCAACCGCATCGTAGCCTATGTTGCCATCGCTATTCTCAGCGCGCTCGCCTTACTATACCTGGCAACAAGCGTGCTCCCATTGATAGATCTCAGCTGCCCGTACCGGACACCTGTCACATACATATCCGCGGCCCTTTACTCTTCAACTCATACACTATCACGTGCAATTGAGTACCTGGCGCGTATCTTTGGGTCGTCTGCGAGAAAGCACAGGCCACGCGCGAGATCATTCGGAGTGCGCACCATCGGGTCACGAACGGTCGTGGACCGTAACGCTTTCCTCACTCCGTCACGATATATCTTCGCCTGGGACCGCACGAGTCACCAGATGGTGGACGGGCAGTTCGAAGCTCTTCTCGAAGGCTCTATGTCTGTTTTGGACAGCAAGATCCTCCGGCTCGAGACCGCCCGGTCCGAGATCATCGAACATCTCTGCTCGAATGTGACGTTCGTACAACGGCTGCGTCAACACATCCTCATGCCGCGCCACCAGTTGTACGGGGCCACGTTGAATCCAATCATCTTCCGAGTTCTCTCTGTTCTCTCAGAGAGGATGTTCGCCTATCTCGAAGATCGCGCGGACGTTTACAAATGGGACGTCGCCGCTGGGATCTATCTAGACGCCCTTTCACATGTCGCCGCTATCGCTCAGAACCACGTCCATGACAAGACCAAGTTCGCAGCGAGGCTTTGTCTTCATAACGTGCACTGCTCTTTCGTCAGGATATGTAGCAATGCGCACAAACGAGGCTCTAGTCTTGCTTTAGCGGACGCCCTCGTCGTGGGACATTTCCCTGATGCCAATCGGGGCGGTGTGGACTACGACGCGTTGCGACTAGAGCAAGTTCGCCCTGCAGGACTACTGCTTGTTATGCAATACCAGGCGTACTGCGCTGTTGCTAATGCACCTGATCAATGGTCAAAGCGCCTGACAACGTATAGAAAGTGGACGCGACAGATGGATCATTCCTGTCTCGTACCCTTGCACGCCGACAGGTGCTGCAGACGCTCTAGTAGTATCCTTTCAGCGAACGGATGGGCACACGCGACTGCATCCTGTCTGCTGACAATTATATGTCAGATATTGGAGTCGCCTGATCGTGCAGCAGAAGTAATCCGAGAGACTACCATCTACCCTCCCGAGACCTTACCGACATACTTCAAGGACGTCTTGGACCGTCGTTTACCCTCTAAGGAGTTCATCGACGCTCTTCGTACTTCCGGTCTCACAGACTGGATCAGCCCCGAGAGCGATTTGTCGTCAGGTCCGATGAAAGGGAAACATCTCAGCTTCCTTCGTGAGGGTCATTGGGGCCCATGGTGTATCCGATCCTTGCGGAGTCTCGCAGAATATGTTGACTGGAAAAGCTATTACAGTGACCTAGTGGTACTACCAGATGCAATACCGTCATCGTGCGATGCAGGCTTGTCACCAGGACCGACGATTGGCGTTCCATTCACCTGCGGAACTTTTTCGCTTGCCGTCCCTCCATCTGGCGTGACCGATACTGGCGCACCTATAGCGCCGAGTGCATTCTTGAGCGCGGAATCTGCCGAAGTTGAACCTGGGGACTTCTCCGAGACTTGCATACGCGGGTGATCTCAACGGGAAGCCCGCACGTGAGCCGTGGTTACGCCTGACGTTGAAAAGCAGGAGACGGCGCAGTAGTCCTTGCGGACAACCAATCAGTTTGTAGAGTAGTTATACAAAAGGATACATGAATAGAAGTCATCCAACGCTTGAACCCAATGGAAACCGAAGAACCAGTACAGAGACCAAGGAGAGACGGTGAACACCCAGGACACTTCCGTACAACACCGGAGAAAAATATATAATCAATAGTTAGGAGTGATGCAGAAAGAAGGGACGGTTTTATGTGGTTGAGAAGAGTCTTGCGAGGCGGGTGAGCGTGGCGCTGTGCTTAGTTGAGGAGGGTCCAGGTGATGGGCACACCAGTGCCGTCCGCCTCGCTCTGACCGATAGCCGTCCACGCGCCGACGGAGAGGTCGAGCGACTCGGAGTTCCTGCAGCCGGGGCAGTTGTCCGCGACAACAGCCTGGATAGTGATGCCCTTGTTCACGTTCGTGATGGAGACGGTGTGGCCGCAAAGCGACGAGTCGTAGCGCGCCGACTCTGTGGGACGGCGTAAGTCAGTGAGCCTCGGAGGCATGATGCAAGGAGGGCCGGATGAACGCACGGAGAGCAACGATGATCGCGCTGTCGGGATTGATGTTGCCGCACGCTCCATAGCCGCCGAACTGGTAGTAGTAAGTAGCACTAGGTGAATGTCAGCTCTCATTCATCGACTGAGATTAATGGACTCACTAGCCACCGGTCTGAACCGTGCCAACAGTAGTCGGGACAGCAGCGCGGGGAACGACCGCAGCAGAGACAGCCGCAATGGCGACGGCGGCAAAGGAGAGAACCTTGAACATCTCGGGAAGAGGAGAGTGATAACGATTGGAGGAGTAAGAGGGATGCTGGACTCCGAAGGAGATGGAGAGCATATGAGCTCGCCCGCGCAGTTTATATACCGCTCAAAATGCAGGATGGACAGTCAGTGCATAGCAAGAGCGTCAGGACATCCGAGGCACGTGCAGGATGCACAGTACGTAGACACGAGCGCGGGCCCGCATGGAGGACAGGTTGTGAGCCGCACTGTCCGCACCATAACGTGGTTGGAGTCGAGGAACAGGCACGCGCTATGATCTCTACGCGTGAGATGTTATGATCTGGGCGGAACAGTAGATGCCTCGGGATATCTTGAGCCATCCGGTCATGTCGCTTTGCAATGCTGGTATCCGTCGTGGAGGTCCCAGAGCGGTCGGCACCAATGACTTCAAAGCCGGCTGAATACAACGTTGACCGATGTGAACCTTCAACAACCATATTCACCATCGACGAAGGCAGAATGGTGCACGAGTCCGACCAGGGTAGAGACGTATGGTGTTCTTGATGCCAATTGTAGTCCGCCTACCGACGCTGTGAAATACAGTTCCGGTGCCGTCATTTGCTTATAATCGTTGAGTTGTCCTCCATTCACGTACGTGTGGCGCAACGCATGTTCCTCGCTGTCGTGTAGGGGCGTTCGCAGGCTCGATAAGATCACATATATGCAAAGGTCATGGGTCGAGTCGAAAGGCGGAGTACTATGGCGATGGTCGACTTGGTGCCCAGCGGGTGAGCACCAATTGTGGCAGATAGCTCTTGATAGCTATCCTCTCGTTTGCCTTGCGCGTTCGTAGGTTTGCAAGTCCGAGGCGCCGGCGCTGCGATCGAGTTCGAATTCTTCCAGGCGCAGTACAGCGCATGAAAGAGAGGCTCGCCTCCATTCCGAAGGCTCGAGCTGCATTCGAGAGCTAGGCACTAGTAGTCCAGAGTAGAGCACAAGGAGAAATCAGAGGGTGAGAGCATCACGGTTGTGCTGATCGTACAGGTGGATGTCGAGAGCAAGCCACACGGAGACGCACGTCTTGGCGCTGCACATCAGTCGGGCCATGCCGATTTTGCCGACGGCTATGCTTCGGGCCCGACTTCCGAAAGCTATCACGCGTCCACGTGAGTTGTAAGGATCAGGTCAAGCAAGTACAGCACTCAAAGCTTCGGAGCCTACTCGCAAAGTATAGATCTGACGGGCCAAAAGACTCGCATGAGACTAGGGCTGACTTCGTGATTTGATCGACGACTTTGTACTTCTGCGCATGCCTTCGGCCAAGACTGCTATCGGCTAGGATGTCTTGACTATCGACTCGGGATCTGATAGTACATTCGCATGAACCATCAATATCATATACTACAGGTACAGCCAGTACAGACAATTTGAAAAGAGCCACTGGTGGCGATCGCGCCTTGATACACCAGACAAGAAACGACATAAACACCCAGGTGAAAGGAGGAGAGGAGACCGCGAGCTTGTCCGCGTCGTTGACTTTAGTTGACGAGCCACCAGTTGATGGGGATGCCGGTGCCGTCCGCCTCGCTCTGCCCGAGAGCCTCCCATGCACCAACGGAAAGGTCGAGCGATTCAGAGTTCCTACAGCCGGGGCAGTTATCCGCGATGACAGCGCTGATCGTGATGCTCTTGGCCGGGTTCTGGATCCAAACGGTGTGACCACATAGGGAGGGATCGTAGCGCGCTGACTCTGTGGCGGTGTGTGAGCTTGATATTATGAGCAAGGCGAGAGGTATACGCACGAAGGGCAACGATGTGGGCGCTATCGGGGTTGATGTTGCCACACGCGCCGTAGGCACCGTCCTGGTAGTAGTACGTCGCACTACATTATCGTCAGGACCAAGCTCATGGAGTAGATGTGGTATACGTTGACTCACTATCCACCCGTGTTCTCAACGCCGACGGTAGTAGGAACGCTGGCACGGGGTACCACCGCGGCCGAGACGGCCGAGACGACGGCAGCGGCGAGGGCGAGGGCCTTGAACATGTTGTAGTAAAGGTGGATGAGATGTGTGATAGCGACGAAGTGCTGCTCTTGAAAGAGTATGAGTGACTCTGGGCTGATATAGGCCTGGACGCGTCGCTTTTATACTCGCGCCGAGAGCTGTAAGTAAAGCCATAGGACCTCCACTGAGACGGATCGTACACCGACATGAGCTGAACCCCGCATGGACGACCATTGTGCGCCGTAAATCCTGCCGAAGTCGAGGTACAGGCACGAATCCCGTGATCATAGGTGATCGCTAGAATACTCAATAACGTCGTGTAAAGGATGGAGGCCTCATGTCCTGTTACTTCGTTCATGATGGCTTGACAAGCACAGATGGATGTTGATCGAGATTAACGAGTATTTGCAAGTATTTGCAAGTTGTGCGCCCGCGCGACTGACCACGAACGCGTCTGAGCGAGAGGGACGCAATGTATCTTCCGCATCGGAGAGGTTTGAGTTTGCAAAGGGGGCCGCAGACGATGAGGCGAGCTCAGGCTCGAGCGCTCGAGCGGTAAAGCCGTATGGAATCTATGATGCCAACGATGATCAGCTTGAGGCGGCGATGTAAGATATTGCCAGGTGCCGTCAGTCGATCCGGGACCTGAGCTGGGACTTTGAGGCATGAGGAGCATCCTTTGGCCTCATGCTCAAAGCAGCAGCTTGTGCAAAGAGTAGCATCAAGGACAAGCGCCGCCGCGTGAGCAGCGCCCGCTGCTCGGAGAGACGGAAACCCGCCATCTGGGACGGCATAAAGGGCGTCCAGGTATTCCCAAGGACGAGTTTGCGGCAGGAGATGTGTGTAATTCTGCATTGAGGGAACGCCAGTCTAGTCCCAACGACAACACTACTAAGTACCTCGATTCATCTGGTAAGGGTCCCACATTGCTCTCTGGTGCGCCTCTACGTGTGTAGTGACGGTGGCCCAGGTTCAAGATCTTGTATTCGGAGGATGGACCGAAGCATAGGGTGGTCGAGGCTGCGCGGATCGAGCAGCAGATGGATGTCGAGAACAAGGTGAGCGCCCTGGCATTGGCAAGTTCCGCGGGGCCTGGCCGCCCTGCCGTCACCGGCACGACGGCACGATGACGCGCTGCACGTGAGTTACTGAACAGTGCATACTGATTGGCGCTCCCGCCTTCTTTCCCGCCTCTACCTTGCGAAAGTTGAGATCTTCAACCTGTCGAGCATCTTTAGTGCTAGAAGAGAGCGCATCGAAAGCAAAATGTCGACGGATATCGGCGCTACGCCGAAGTAACAGCTGGGGGCGCGCTCCGGCTAGACGAGCGAGCGCTGGAAGTACGCGCATTAGAGACTCAGAAACAAAGTTCATAGTCGCGGTGTTCGCATCTTCATCACCGTGCTCACAGCATCCTTCGCTCTCAAGCTACGACCTCAGAGAATCGCCGTAACAGCGCCCATTTCACAAAGGCTGCTTTTCACACGCAAAGATTTAAGGGGACGGCCGTTATCGCATTGCATTACAGAGGGTACAAATACATATTCCAGATGCTAGTGTCGGTAGAATCAATGCATTCATGAGCTGTTGATGTCCTGCTTCGCCTCTCCCTTGTCATGACGGGCGTTGCCTGCAAACGTGTCAGCACTCGGATGTTGCAGGCCATGATGACGAAGACGCACCAGACATCTGCTGCTGCTTGTCGCCGGTGATGGCGCCAGCTACAGAGTCGACCTTACCGCCGACGCGGTCAATGGTACCCTCCGCGTAGCCCTTGGCCTGCGCAGCGTTGTACTCGGCCTCTCCCGCCGCGTGCTCCTCCTTGCCGGAGTCGGTCCAAGACGTAGCACCCGTCAAGTTGCCGATCGACTCGACGACGGTACCCTTCACGGAGTGGTACTGGCCGGTGGTCTTGCTGTGTGGCGAGTTAGGTGAGAATGGACTGAGAGTTAAGAAGGGAGTGAAGGACGCACGAAGGCTCGTTGCTGGTGGAGCTGTTGGACATGTTGATTGAAGTGGTAAGAGTGATTGGGAGTGAAGAGAGTTCGTAGAGGGTTTGATGACTTCTTACGGACTCGCGCCCGCGCTACTTATACGCCCAAGGATAACACGTTCCTGCGGGGAGAGAGCGGGCAAGTTACTGGATATGACTGCATAGGCATGTCGAAGCGGAGCCAGTGGTTCCCGCTGCTGGCGACGTCATGTCGCCAGACTCGCCACAAGCCCCTGTCTCAGTGGCCGTCGAAGGTATCTTCCGCCACTTGCAGGATTGGAGAACAGCATAGGGAAATAACCATGAGCGATGAGAACCTCGTTAGATGGGTGCTGAAAGTGCGCTTGGTTCGACACGGTGGTACTACGCGAAGGCGGGAGGCAAAAACGGTAATCAAGGCGTTGGGACCCATACGCTACCACAATGACGATGCGCGGGGATTCAGGGGACTAAACTGGGGAACACAGGTGCACATGTACCGTATGTCGTACTGAGAGATATGTCGGACGTGGTAATGCTCTGCAGAAAGCCTACATCACGGTAGTCAGCATGGTGAGCTTGGAGGACGATGACGCGTTGGCTGAAGCGAAGCGGGAAGACGCGCCCATGCACACGCCGCTGGTAGTGCCACTGACAGCGTGCGGCCGTACCGAACTCTGCAGGTGAGGGCGCTGGTATGACTGTACGAAGGATAGTCGGAGACAGCGAATCTCCAGCCCTCGCAACGGTCATCGTACATACATCGCGCCGAAGCTTCCATAACTCATTCCGCTTGCTCGGGCCGGTGCAGTGGCAGATAGTGGAGGTCGGCGTCGAGATGCTCAGATGTCATCAATTTCGCAGACGCGCGGCACACCAAGCCGACGTGCAAGTAGCAATCGTTTGGCTTTGTATGTATTCGCGAATATCAAGACTGGAATATGTATCAGTCAGCCTGTCAGTGACCGAGACCGGTGCTCGCTTACGTCGGCATCCAAAGTGGTCGTTCAAGTGCAGTTCTTCCTCACACATAGCGCAAATTACCAGAGCAGAGGATGGGCCCTCCAATGGCTGAGCTCGCACCATCACCTAGCAGAGAGCGAACCTATGGGGCTTATGCGCGTTGTGGGTGAGTTTGCCGGCGGTGCAGGCCAATCAACACACCCGATGATGAAGATGCGAGGCTCCTTTCACTCGGCCCTCACGGTGGCCACTGGCGAGCCAAAGCTAGTTCCGTATCAACCCTGCATGTCGCTCGTTGTACACGAATCGTCTGATTCGCTCACGAAAACTCCGACGGATAAAGCATAACTAGGCTTTCAGCAACCCGCTACGGCCAAGGAGACGATGCATGACTGAGCGAGTAACTCGAAGAGGCGAGTAACGTGAGGTGTCTGTGCAAGTTCACGGAATAAATCGTTGGGGTGCACGCGGGCGTAGTATGGCGCAGGCTGCTATACTCTTCTGTTACAAGACCATCTAAAGGCGATAGGGTCGCCTGCAGCTTCTTGATGGACCTAGCGCAACGTGGGCAGGCGCTTAGGACGGTATGTGCACACTGGAAGACATGATGGTTCAAAAGGAAGTCGGCGTTTGTCATCGGCGCGCAGAATTCGACGACGCGCCGAACGTCTTGGACCCCGACCCCGACGATCCTCGGCATTTTCTCGCGATATGTCCATGATCTCAGTCCTGTCTGTCGGCATGTGTACGTTCATCTAGCTGAATGAGGAGAAGACATGATGGGCGCTACGCCGGCTGCGTTTGAGCATCACCCTGGATCTTCCGCGAAGGCTGTCCTGCTTCCCTGTCGGCCTGAGGCGCATGGTTTATTAGCGTGCCTGCTGGTCTGCTGTTACCCCGCATTCGCTTCCACCTCTGCTGGTTCGGACACGGCGCGATGGGCTGCTCTTCCAGCAAGGTGCAGGGCCGGATTGCCCTCGACGACGGCCTCTACAGTATGTCTCTCGCCGCCGCGTAGTCATGACTTCGTTCTAACCAGACTCAACAGCGAGTGACCGTCGTGAAAGGGCACAAGAAAAGCTGCAGCAGGACCGGCTGGCCGGCACCGACACTTCTGACGTGGTCCTTCTGGGTACTCGCGTACGTCCCTTGCTCTTTACCTTCGGCGAACGCTTGTTCACCAACCGCTGTAGTCACAAGCTGTCGTGGACAGGATTGACGAACTCCGCGACGAAACCTTCCAGGTCATGCCTCACGCCGACCTACGGGTAGTACGCCGCACTCCAACGCCTGAGGGCGTGATCGCTACCGTATTCACGACTGGGGCTCTCACCGCCACCTTGCTGGACGTATCTCTCGTGCCAGGTGAACTCGAGCAGTACTCGGGATGTCTCATGCATGCCTTGGCGTTTGTCTTTTCGGTGGATCTGGCTCGGTATGATGAACCCGAGTCCTCTCCGGTGAGTTCATCGACGAGTCGCAGCTCGCAGTCCGGGTACTAACGTGAGCCTTTCACAGACCTCCGTAAAGGCCGCCCTCAAACAATTCAAGAAGCTGTGCGACACGACATGGTGCATTCATGGCACACCTATTGTGCTACTCTTCGACAACGAAGACGCGTTTGCGCGAAAGCTGGCCAACGAGCCGCTGTGGAAGAGCTTCCCCTCATACGAAGGACCTCGCGACTACTCGGAGGACTGGGTGGCCACGGCGCGGAACTGGATAGCAGCGCGCTTCTACGAGCTCAATATGGACGCCAGCCGCAACATGTACGGCCACTTCACGCATATGGACGACCCTGCCCTCGCCCGCGGTATGTCCATGCGCGTCCCGCAGCCGTTAATGTGCTAATGCGCCTCGGGCGGCGTAGTTGTATCCGCGTTCGTACAGGACATCCTCATACAGCACGCTCTCATGCCACATCATGATCACGATCACGACCATAGCCATGGTCATGGCCGCAGGTTCAGCCTGGGCTTTGGCAATCGTCGAAAAACATAACCTTCACGACATGCGACGATAAATTATCGATGTTGTACTTGTACGTGTTGATCGTGTGTATACTATGCTATCGTGCTCTCCTGTGGCTGTCCTTCTTGCTGTCCGAACGCTGTCCTATCTTCTTGTACCTATACCCGTGCTTACAATCCCATGCCGCCCGCCACACTCGATCTTATACAATGTGTGCATTCATCGGAGCTACTGATGGAATGGTAAGGTCATCGAATTCTCGTTGCACAGCATATATCATCTGTCTAGTAGCTTGTAAGGTATGAGTGAGGATATTCAAATCGTAGATGTAAGCGTGCAATGAGCAAGAAAGAAGCAGGCAAGCAGTCGGGGCATCGATGCGTCTATTCGATGCGTACACTCTCCATCTGCACGTTTACGTCGATCACGACCCAATCATCGCCCGAGGCGTTGTCGGTTCCCTCGTCAGTCTCGCCCTGAACTTCAGGAGCTTCAGGGTCGACGTCGGCCAGCGATGGCGGTGTTGTGGTCTCGTGAGATGGATCGGGGTTCGCAAGGTCCGGACTGTCACACACGGCCTCGGCCCCGTCTATGGTGTCCTGTATGGGCGGCGAGGACGCTTCTTCTGGAATTATTGGCCGCGCGTCGAGGCTCTTTTTGGGGGGTGCAATGTCCAAGACTACTTCAACTGCTCCGGTATTCGATCTGGCCTGCCGGTTGACGTCTTCGCCATCCCTCTCGGACCGTGTTCGATCGGCCAAAGGGGATTCTATAGGTGGACCCCCGACAGTCAACCTTGGCTCCTGTGCGCTGCCGCTGGTATCATTGGGAGAAACGCCAGCTGTGAAAGAAGGTGCCGGGGCGGCCTCTGGGGGTGGGTATGCAAGAATTGAGCATGGAATACGTCGAGGTTAAGCACCTTGACCTACGGCTAGATTCCGAAGGCCTACTTCTGTGGCGAGGGCTCCTTACAAGTTCGGAATGCCAAGAGTCAACGAGTTTCCGAGCGCGCTCTCGGAATCCGAAGGCGTCGTCGACGCTGGACGGCAAGAGCTCGGCATCGAGAAGCACCACGTGGCGCATGACCTTTCCAATCTTTGAGTACTGTGATATTGCATACGGGAAATGTCAGCCTATATACACGCGCGAGAGCCCAAAGCGAGAACGCACAGATAGACTTTGGATCGTCATACCATCGTACGACTCGATCTCCTTGAACCATATATCTACTGGGCGCGCGATCTGGCGCGACGCTGAGTATGAGCATGGAGCCAAGAGTCTGAAGTAGCGGTCCGATGCGTACTTCCACGGTCAAGGGTCCTCTGCGCTGCAGATACTCGGGTGTCGGTAGTAACTCTCTCTGTATATCATGTCTCCAGCGCCGGACTTTCTCCGCTTCTTTCTTCTCTTCGTCACTCAGACCATCCAAGCTATTCCATCAGATTATGAGATTGAACAATCGCGAGGATAGGTAAGCACATACAGTGAATGATCTGGTTGCGCCATTCTATAGCAGAATTCAGGGCACGAAGTTGAAACCGCTAGGGCATAATGAGTTGGTTGGTCGGAATGTACGAATTTCTGCTGAGAATCATCTCGTCTTACGTGCAAAATGCGAGCCAGAGAGATTGGTTGCGTATACAGGTACTGTGTCGTGCTGGTCAAAGGCAGGTGGCGAATCGCAGCCGCGTGGCCGGCACCGCGCACCGTGTTCAAACGCTCACGACGCGTGACGTCACGCGCTCGCGCTTGCACGTTCGCTCGCGAGAGGTTCACTCTGGACGACGATGAAAGCGAGCGAACTGCAGTATTATCTATCTCTTAGTCCCGCCCTGTTATGCGTCGGAAACATCAGAGCCATCTAGATGGCTCCCCGCCTATCCATCAAAACCTGTGCAGTTGCGGGAATCATCAACTGTCAACGAATACCCTCATGCGTGCGCGTCGCTAGCTGTTCCCCTCACACCGTCACTCTCCTTGTACCCGTTGACCCTACTTGCCGAGTACAAAATGCCTCATAACTCTGCATCCGATAAACCTGGCGATGTCTTATGGTCGGCGTACCTCAAGGCTTCCGAGAAAGGAGATAGAACGCGACCTAAGGATTGGGAAGGGAGCGCTGGTGGGATATTGACTTTCGTGCGTTCTATAACCCTTCGCATCACCATCTTTGACTAAGACTTAGATAAGACTGGTCTTTTCTCTGCCACCGTCGCCGCGTTCATCATCGAGAGCTATAAGTCATTATCCCCTGATTCTGGCGACCAAACGGTCGCGTTACTCTCCCAGGTCCTGCCCGCGATGGTGAATGCCTCCTCGCAACAAGCTGTCATCATGATAAACCCGCGTCCATTTCAAGTCGCTCCTCTGGCTGTGGCTACAAATGTACTCTGGATTACGAGTCTCCTGATATCTCTTTTCTGCGCGTTACTGTCGACATTGGTTCAGCAATGGGCTCGGAGTTACGTCAGAGAGGTCAATGAACATCATGCGACTTATGGACAAGACCTCAGAAGACGTGCATGCTATCATCTTCTTAGGCGCATGGGCGTTGACAGCTACGGATTGGACGAATTCGTGTCCTGGATAGTTGCGCTCGTGCATCTTTCTATCTTTCTTTTCACGATTGGCCTCGCGCTCTTCCTATTCCCCATCAACACCGCTGTCGCAGCTGTGGTGCTGGGGTTGCTCGGCCTTTTTGCTCTCATTTACACTGCTTCGACCATCCTTCCTTTGATGGATGAGAGCTGTCCCTACGAGACTCCCATGACCCGCATTGCGGCATTTGGCTACCAAGTTATCCTCCGCATTCACGGAACTTCATGGACGGAAGTCTTTCATAAGACTCTCCATAGATTTCATGGGCATTGGATCAATTCGAGATTCATCAGTCGCGAGAGACGGCGTCACGACTTCACATCCCGGCGGGATGTCCAGGATCTCGACATAGGCAAGTTTCTTTCCGAACGTCGCAAGATATGCCTATGGGATTATACTGGCCATCATGTGCCTGACGACGATTTTGAGCCAATGATGGGGGACCTTGTATCTCTCATATCGGGTGCACGGAGTGAAGGAATGCGCAACCACCTATGTGCTGATGACGCCTTAGCCCGAAGATTGTACTCCCACATCTATGACTCCGGGACGACCGCAAACCCGGATTTATTCGCATTCATCTCGACCCTCTCGAGTGCTATGCTCAAGCAAGAGGTTGACGGATTGATCAAACGGATCCGCCCGAAGACCCATCTCTCTGGGTATTACATCGGAATCATAGGCACAATATCCAGGATTTCCAAAGTCGACGGTCCTGTTCAGGTTTTAGCGCATCTGTGTTTGGCCGAAGTGCGGCGCTCTTTTCTTCTTCTATGTTTGAGTATAGATGAATCGGAGATTCCTCTACTGAGCATGGAGCAGTTGTCTCGCTTATACGAGGACACGACGCTCGGGGACTTCGAGCTTAAGGATCGCCACCCCATCGGATTGTTGCATATGATGGTAGTGGGCGAATACTACGACTTTAGGTGGAACTTCTGGGACAATATGTCAATATTGCAACCTTTGCATGATGACGATTGCTGTAGAACTTGCAAGCACCCTCCATCTCGTGAAAGTCTCGCTCATATCGCAGCATGCAATGCTTTGACTGTAGTCTCCCACGTCTTGACTATGCTGGCCGCAGGTCGGGCCACGGGAGAATCCATCGGTCCTCATCTACGTTCTGAGCTCAACACAACTTTCGCGAAGATGACAAGCTTGATGAAGCAGTTTCCCATGGCCGTCGGAGAGCGCAAAGCATCAGCACCAGAGTTTTTGTCTGTATTGCAGGCCGCGGGCGTACTAGATGAATGGATGCAGCCTGGGAGTGATCTCCGAACGGATTCTAAACACGGCGTACTTCATGATTACTACAGCTGGGCACCTTGGTACGATGAATGCATTGACCTGTTGAGAGCTTTGGCTCAAAACGTTGACTTCACGAAGCATCGATCCCGCCGATCTTCGTTCCAATCGACACCCATCGCGACGAGTGCCATGCCATCGTCTACAAACCCATCGCCATATACCTCTACAACCCCATACAGTCATGCAGTCAGTGAACACCCGTGGCTTACACCTCCGAGTCGCCAGCCGCGCACCTTGGACGATCAACCTCCCTCTCTACCTATATTCCTGGAGGGCGTGGTAGTCGACGGAGACAGAAGTGCCAGCACGTCAGGTTGGGACCCGACTTGTACGGGATAGAAACTGAATCTGGATGCATGTAGTAGTGCCCCATCTTGTATCTCTCAGAATTATAATATCGTTGTTAGGGTCCTGAGAGGTTAGTCTTATTGTCAGTCAATATTATAGAGTATCTAGGTAGGTAACTAAGGTATTCTCACAAGTTACAGTGGATTGGGTCACGTCATAAGCACATTTGAGCAGTGCTGAGATAATCGTGATAGGGTAGTTCGAGGTCGCGCAGTTGCGCGGTTCGGTCGTGGAAAAGATCCCCGAGGGCAGCCCGAGGTGGCGCGGCGCGCAGCCTATGTGTCCTCACTCCCGCGGCTTCAATACACTTCCGGTGGTGCAAGCCCCTTACAAACGAATTCTTCGCAGCAGTCTGTACTCTCTACGCATCGTCGGCCACTTCGCCCTTTGTAGCCATGCGGCCGTCGTCAATCACTCCAGCTTGCCGCGCTTCTCCAATATGTCCACGATCTCAATCGCACGCTCGAAGTGCTTCTTCTGCTCTGCACTGGGCTTCACGTCGCGCTCTATCCAGTCAACGTTGCATCCCTGCGGCGCCGTATCCATCGTGTTCATCCAGCGCAGGCTCTCGCTCTGGTACATGACCCCGACATCCCTCTCATAGAAGTCTCCTCCACCTTCCGTCGGCAACCCTTTGAAGAGAGACTCAAGTTCTTGCACCAACGCAGGCGTGTCGTTGAATCCAACGTAGATGAACTTTTGAGGGTATGGTTGGAGAAATGGTGTTCCGTCTGGCCGCACCATTGAAAAAAGGGTGATCGTGGGAGCATCAGAGTCCAGGTGGAAGTTGTGTACCGCGGAGGGGTTCGGGGGCGCAAAGCCGCCGGCAATGCCTGAACCCTTTGTCAATACGGTGATCCTCGAGACGCGAGGAATCGCTGCTTACCGTGCTGAATACGGAGGTCGAAGGGCCTGATCGTGGATGTGGGTTGTAGAGACTGTAGATGTTGAGATGATACATGTTGTGTGCGCTCTGGGTAAGGTGAGGCGAGTGATGCACCCGCTATTCTTGACGCGGCCAATGGACGGCAGGGTCAGGGGTGCCACGACTGGACGTGGCATCAGATGGGAACGTGTCCGCGGGAGATCGTGCGGGGTCGACTTCGTAGCGCCCGAAGGACGTGGTCTGAAGCGCTCGTAGTGTGGCATCAGACACTAAGTAGTGGACACGGGGTTGTACGTGCTATCACGCTCCTCGAGGGCGAAGGCAGAGGGAGCAGCTCGTGCTTGAAGCTCAAGCATCGGCTGAGCCAGAGCTCTCCAGTGTGCTCGTACTTGGTAGCATTGTGAGACCAATGTCGACTGATCGTAGGTCCGAGAGACCGCCCGGTACTCCTGCAAGGTCACCGTCGATCTTCTGCATGCTGTCCACGGACGATCTTCCAGTGGATGTCGATGTGCTAGGAGAGGAAGGGGACGACAACAGGGTGATGCTTGGGCAAACGGCCTCGAGAAATGGCCGTGAGGATCGTCCGATAAGCGCCGTCCGTTCTGGTTCCCGTGTGTTGTATCCCGAGAAGTCTACGGATCTCGCCAGAGTTCGCAGGATGCTCACGCAGTCGTTTGCGTACAGCAAGTACCTGTGCTGATAGAACGGTCCGTAACGCGGCTCCGATGAGTAGTCGCTGCCTGGTTTCAACCACTCTTCCAGCCCTGCATCTTTGAGGATGGATATGAACTGTGGGGAGGGAGTTCTGCGCTCGTTCCGTGGCATTGGGTAGGCGCTATCGATG